TACTCACGTTATATTTTAGAAATAGTCAGCAAATTAAAATACAAATAATTTAAAGAAATATTTTTTTGTAGATTATATTCATTGCTAAAAACTTTAAACAGTGAAAATGTAAGGTAATTTTTGAATATATTTTGAAAAAAAGAACTCCGCACTTTCTTAAATGGAAATGGATCCCAATCGATTTCGCTGAAATTTGAATAAGTTGCAGTTGAAATCCTTCGGATTAAAAGTTCTCATTGCCCGATGTTAAAAAATGAACAGATTTCAGAATGAACAGGTACGGTGCTTTGAAAACTGATCAGGTTGCTTTGATCGACTAATTAGAAATTGCTCTTAAAATGGAAGTCTGACACATTTTATCTCCAAACCAGTTGAAATTTTCGTGATCAAAAGAATTTCAACAACAACATATCAAATTTTCAACCAAATCGATTGGAATATAATTCCCATATAAAATGCACGGGGTCCTTTCTTGTTAGTTTTGATAGTTTAATGAGATTTTATTTAACTTGTTGCCTTGTTCAGAGATAAAAGAGGAATATATTAAAAAGAAAAATATTTAGAGAAGATAACCTATGTGTTTCACAAAAAAAAATATTGCTTTTATGATGAAACTCGATTCATACCAAACATTTTTAATTTTCAAATTAAATTTTCATAAAAAAATTTCAAAATGTGAGAAGTTCATTAAAAGTTTTGGATTATATTAAAAACTTTGATTTCGTGTAAGTGTGAATGGCTGTAACTTTATAACCTGTTATGTTACAAAAAAATAAACCTTAAATTTCAAGAATATTTTTGTATTTATAATACTTACAAGTATTCTAAGGATCTCAATCCTTTGAAAATATCCGATGTAAAGTCAGTGATATCGTTTCCTTTGATGTCCCTTAAAATAAAAAGATTGCATTTAAAATTAAATAATTAAGAATATAATTTGAATCAATTGATTACGAAGTTATTAAAATCACATTGAACATAAAATACTCACAAAACAGTAACTGAATGCAAACCAACAAAGGCTCCATTTTCTATTTTCTCGATATTGTTATTTTGCAAGTTTCTGTAATAAAGAGACTAATTAACTACTAATTAAAAACTAATTAAGCTAAGAGACTAATTAAACTATTTCTCTGATGTTAAAGAATGATAATGAATTCAAAAAATGTCTGCAATTAAAATATGATGCAAATTAAAGCGTACATTAATGTTAAGAGTGAAATAAAGAAATGTTTGTAAATGCTTACAAAGTTCTTAAACTTGACATTCCGTTAAAAGTATTACGCTTTAAAATTTTCAAGGAAGTCCCCGTAAGGTTACTGAAAATAAAAAACATTAATATCTAAAAAAATATCTGACACAAGAAAAAAACAGACAGAAAAACATGCACAAAATAATATTTAATGATAGAAATACATAGCAAAAAATATTTGCGAAAAGCTTCAGAGTTATAAACTAAATAAGCATTCTATATATTTTCCAACACACAGCGGGCTCACACCGACCATAGTACTAACGTAAAATATCTGACGTAAACAGATCATGGGTCAGAGTTCCTTTGTCGTCGGGGTGACCGTGGTTTTCGTGGTTTTCCTCTCCACACAAATGTTGGTTAATTCCATCAAAAATGTTCTCCTCGAAAGTAAATTTCTTCCAAAACATGATACAGGAGTTTTCTTGTCTTCGGGATTGGGTTCAAAATTCCAAGGCTATGGAGTTGAACGTAAGTAATCGTAATCCCAAAATTGAGTTGGCTGTTCAACGAAGATTATAAACAAAATATTGTCCAACACCGTGATTCTGTTCTAAATTAATAAAAAATACTAAAGTTCAAATTATTTTCCAAATATTAAAATTATACGCAATAAAACTTAAGATTTAAAAACAAAATATTAAGACATTATAAATAATTAAGATCGTTTTCTTTGGCGAAATCGTATTTTCAAAATTATTTATCAGTTTTAACAGTATTTTTATGAAATTTATGTTAAAATGAAATAAAATCTACCAAAATATTAGTTAATTTTTAAGACAAGTTTATACTGCAACAAAGGCTAAAGCTATTCTTATTGCTAATTTATGCTATTATTTGTATTTCTTCGAATTCCTACGATCAATTTATTTCCTTATTTAAGAAATTGAACGTGTTTTTTTTTCTCTTTTTAAAAAAATTAGAATCGTCTATTATTATACAGCTCCATAAATAAAGGCTTTTCAGAGCATTTCTTTTGTCATCAAATGGGATGAGGACAATTAATAGTATGTTGGTGGAAACTAAGAAAATTTTAAGCCTCAGAAGAATAAGAGTTTTATTTTATTTATTTTGAATTTTTTAGATTAAAAAAAACTATCCATGAAAACATTCAAAATATCAAAATTCATACGAAATATGTCTTGTTATGGTCTAGAATGACAGAACTTAATACGAAAATACACATGCAAAGACAATGTAGAATTGTTGTTGTTGTCATAGCCAAGTAAGTCAAGGGGAGCGATTGCTCTTGTTCTCCAGTGGCCCAGTCTATGTCCGAAAATTCTGCACCTGATGCTGCACCCATATGTCATACCCGTTTATAGGGCAAACCCCTTCATTCTCTTACAGATCGTAATTTTGACCTGAATCAGAGATCGATCACTCTCCAATTCAGTACCTCTAGAGCAGAGGTCACCAAAATGGTCTACATAGACCCCCAGGGGTCTATTTAACAAAAGCGGGGGTCGATCTGAGCCAGGGGGTCGAATGGGGGTCGATCCGAATCGGAAGGGTTGATTGGGGGTCTAAGAAAAAACAGTTATTAATACGCAAATCACACATACCTAATTAAGTATGTAAAATTTGCGATTTTTTCTTTAATTGACCTTATATCAGTTTCTTTATAAGACATAAATTAATAAACGTATATTTATTCGGGTGAAACAAGTATTTACGTACCAGCGCGCAGTGGCACGAACTCAGTCAGCACAGTTAATAAGTAGTCATATGCATATGTGCGCTTGTCCAAATGTCACGTGTGACGAGCATTGACGTTACAAACGCAAATATCATACGCAGTTTCAGCTATCTATGCAAACTGTGAACATAGAATATTTGCAGTGTCATTATTAAAACTTTTATAGTTTCGGATAATTAGTTATTGTTTTGATAAAACCATTCGTTTAGTTTATATATCAATTTTAATTATCAATGCATGTAAAAAAAGAAGGTAAGCATTAATAATATGGATTTGTACAGCCCGCGACAAAACTATAGCACTCTTTGTATTTTTTTACGAAAATTACAAAATTGAACAATTTTGACGAAAACTAAAATTGACCAATTTTTAACCCAATATAGCGAACCTTGCAAAAAAACACCAGGCACACCCATCTCATTGATTTAGAAGGAATAAATCTTTAGTTACTTTACTTATTATTTCTACTTATTCATAATTACTTATTATTTAATGAGCATTAAGTACTTAAATTTCAAAATTAATATATTTTTCATAAAACTATTGTTACACAATGTACTATTACTTTAATAAATACTTAAAATCATAAAATAAATGTACAAACTCTGTATCAAATAGAGTTTTATTTTAAGTAACAGAAAATTACTTTTATGGGGGTCGATGGAGATTTCGAAAAATTATGTAGGGGTCGATGATCAAAAAAGTTTGGCGACCCCTGCTCTAGAGGTATAATTTGCTATGGAAACATGAAGGAATTTGTGACCAGACAGATTTAACGTACACCTGACACCATTTACTACACGGGGAGCCTTTTGCAGGCTGGACTTAAACTCCCGCACTCACGGACGGGAGTCCAGTGCCCTACCAACCAGGCTATCTCGGCCCACAATGCAGAACTAAATTAATTCTATTCCTTTCGAAATATTATATTCTGACAATTTTACAAGGAAACAGGGGTGAACAATGCGTTCAATTGCATGAACGAGGTTCAGGGGAAATTCGTAAAATCCAAAGGTATTTTTTCGTCTATTTAAAAAAATTCTACAGTTTCTTTTTCAATGTAAAACATTGTGCCGCTTTATCAATTTTTTTCCTGGAATTAAAATTGGAATGAAAAATTATCCCTATGCAAAGTTTTACAATAGTTTAAAGCGCCGACTGCGTGATGCTACAAAAGTGTAGAGATATTTTTTGCTATGTTTTAAAAATATTGTGCCTTAAACTATTGTATTACCAGTCTTTGAGAAAAATTTCAAACAAGACTGTGTTCATGTGTTTATGAAAACTGTGTTTTATGTGTTATTAGGCTTAAAGAATTTTCTGCACCCGAGCAAAAAAGTTCTATTGCATAGTATTTACATTTTCATTTTATTTGATTAAAAATTTTTATCGATATATTTAGCTCTCGAAAATAGGCGCCCATTTTCTCAACTTGCCAGACGTGAACGCTTGAAACTTGTCGACTGTCATTTTATTTTATATATTTTTTAAGTGAATGATATTTTTAATCAAGTAATGCCTTACCACTTCAGTTTATTAGGATTATTTATTTAATTTTGATTTGAGTTACAATTATTTTACAAGTTTAAAACGCATTTTGGAACCGAACACCGTAATAAAATGTTTCTTTAATTTAACAACTATTAGTATTGAAAGTGCACACACTAGAATTCAACTAATTCTGTGTAAAAGTGTTATTTTAGTGTATCTTCTTTATTCGAATGTTTTTTTATTAGTTGTTTAAAACTGTTTTCAAAGAGTTAATATGTTCTAATAAACATTTCATGTTTAATATTTAAGGATTTACCTTATTTGCAAAAAAAACTCAATTATAACTTACAATGTGGGAAGGTTTGCCAATCCATTGAAAGCATCGGATGATATTTTCATAATCGTCGGATTATTTTCAAGGACTCTAAAATAATGAAAATTTTATTACAATTTTTAACACAGGCCTTACTTCCAATTCCTAAATTTGTAAATGAAGTGCTTCAAAGATAAATGAAAAAAAAGGCAAAACGACTTACAATAATCGCACATTTGTCAGTCCTTCGAAAGCAGAGGACGATATCAGGGTCAGTCTATTGTGACTTAGATCTCTATGCACAAAATAAATAAGTGAAAAGTAAAATGTATTACTCTTTAAAATGTAAAAGTGTTAAAAATAATACTACATTAAAGTAATTAATTAAATTCTTTTACAAAACAAATGCTAGGAATATAATAAAATCAATTAATTAGTTAAACGACAATCTATAGCTATAAGACTATCTTAAAACTACTGATGTCTGTAAAATTTTATTCAATAAAAGATCAAAAAAAAATATTTAAAATACTTACAGTTTATACAAATTTCTCAAGCGCAAAAACTTGCTAGGTGGCAAAACTGTCAGATAATTATATTGCAGAATTCTGAAAAAAAATTTTTTTTCAATAAATAACTACACATAAAAAATAAACAATTTATCTGCCAATTCTATTTCTACAACACCATCAAAATATATAGAAGAATTATATAGGGTGTTCAAAATGCACGAAAATTTTCCAATATCTGGAAAAATGGACATCGTATCAAAACTCTAAATGTACGACTGAAGATGCACTCAAAGATTCCAAACTCTACCCCTCAAACATGTTAGGCCCCAACCTACAGGAGCATAGTCTTGATAAATTTTGCAAACTCTCAAGCAAGTATATTTTTATGCTTGGAACCAGAAATTTATTTATCGAGACATTTTTATTTTAAAAATTTTTGTACGATCTTTATTCTGCAATAAACATAATACAAAATGTGGTACTTTTTCTTTAAAATCTAAACCTGCAATAAAAGCTTGAAGTTTTTTAAGAAATTAAATTTTCCTCCCATCTCAGATCAATAAGACTGAGGTATCATTTGATGCATATCTTGAAAATATTTTATACGTATAGTTTTAGATTTTTTTACTGATTGAATGTGTTCTTCTCAAATTATTTGAACGTTTTCATACAATTTGGACAGCTTTTATGTCATGTATTTTTATTAAATTTAAAGAAATTACTGTCATTATATATACTGATAAATATAGATTTTATAATTTATATAGTTTGCTTCGGCTTAAGTATCTTAAATAAATTTTTGTTTATAACTTATCTTAAGTTACCTTGGCTCTTATCATTCTGAATATAGTAAAATAGCATGAAATTAAAAATATTTTTATGGATCGAAAAATCCAAGATTTTTTTTTCAAAAGGGGTTGGTGTCTCAACAAACTTAAAGACGTATTTTATTTTAACAATCCCGTTGAATAATCTGATTCATATTTAGAGTTATTAATGTTCAACTCCATAACCTAGTAATTTAGATCTACTCCCAAAAGACAAGGAAACTACTGGTTTAAGTATTGAAATAAGCTCGATATCCTGGATGAGTTGTTGAGGGGAACGAGCTAAAGTTTATTTTAAAAGAAAAGGAATACCACAAAAATCTAACTCAACAGAAAGGATATGTTAATCCATAATGTTTGTCTATCATAAGGAACTTTTTACGTCAAAACAATAGTCACTGAAAGTCGGATGTATTATACCAATTTACCAGACAATGCTGGGATTCAAACTTTGATTATCTCGTTTAGAGACAAGTACTTCATCCCCTAAGTCCTATGTTTTCAAACTTGTCAAATTTATGGCATCCTAACGAAATTTAAAATTATTTCTTGGAACTATTAACTTTTCAAATGATGGAATAAAGCTTGATATAACTATTCGCATAACTTTTCCGATGTCTCTTTTCCAGAGATATTTATTCCTTGGGAGAGCAGCAACTACATACTTACAAACTATTTGCAGTTTCAGTAGCCAAGCCCTAGAATACCTAGATAAAGTAGCGTCACTCTTTTTCTTGATATCTTTGCGTCGCTTCAAATTTTGATTGGCTTTCACCGATCACGTGGGTAAACAGTCGCTAATTTGTTGACTAGTTTGAACGACATCAGTATCATTGCGAATGATCTATTATTTTTATTTTCGCCTCTCTTTTTACTTTTTTTTTGTTTCATACTTTTAAAGGTATAATGACAGGTTGTTGCGCATTTGGGTAATAAAATAAATCAAATTTAGGCTTTAAATTATATTGTTTACTTGTTGAAGATCATAAGAAGAAACGACGGAAAATATGTACGGATAGAATTCACAGAGATTAATGGAATCCAAATGAAAACAGTTGATTGTGTGAGGTAAGTTTGGAATTAATTTATTTATTCATCTGTTACGAAATTTACATAATATTATTCATTAACTGTGTAGAGCAAAAATGTTTCTCTTTATTTCAATTAGAGATTTATCAAATTCAATGCTAATTATGTAAGTATGTTCACCTGAAAGAAATGAAAATAGATTACAAACATTGTTTTTTAACTCAAATAAGTTTTTCTTTAGAAAGCTTTAAAAATATATTTTAAGAGCCTTTAAATAATTGAGTGTCAGAATTAAAAATAAACTAGCGTAACATATTTAATATTTTTCAAATGAAGGAATTTTAAATTGCTTCGCTTTAATAAGATGATCCAATTCCAATTTGAACTCTTAGTTTCTTTATTTTTTATTGTTTTAAATATCTCCGGCATTATACTTTAACTTTGAGATAGTGAAAAATAAATTTGTTATATTTAATATATATCAAGAATTAGAATAAGAATTCTCAAAGAAATACTTATTAATTTTTGAACAAACCAGAACTTGTCTATTTTGTTATTAAACGGAAAAAAGCTCCCATTTACTAATTATTGACTGTCTTATCATATGCCTTAATTTGAAAGTATGGAAACCGAGTTTTAAGAAAAACCAACTGTTAAAAAATGCGAAGTGTTTTGAAAAAAAGTTACAGAATGTTTGGAAAGACGAAATGAGAAAGTGTTACCCATAGATAAGGTATTATTTTCCCTAAATAGAATCAAAATAAAAATATAAATTCAGAAAGAAAAAAATACGAATTAAAAGAAAAAGTAGTAAATATTTAAGTTGTCTTCAAGAATATGAAAGTATTAATCAATAAAAAGTCCCGTTTAAGAACGGGAACTCGGCAATTCTACATTGAAAGTTGCGGTCACAAGAGAATTGCAGTCGCCAAGATGACGGCATGTCGCTGCTTTATCTAAGTATCTAGGGTTTTAACTAAAAACTATCTTCACACATGCATGAAGATAAGAGGAGCTTTCCCTCTGAAGATAAGGCATTTTATATGCAAAAAACTGAAAAAAATTTAACCTAACACTCTTTTATTTTAAATATCAACAGAATAACTGTTAGAGGATTAATGTTGGACTTGAAATCTCTGGGACATAGCAGCGCCCCAAAATTCTATGGTTCACGTTTTCTTACTCTCTGCCATAAAATTGTTTTATAACATATATTCATGGAAAGAAAACATTTTGTATATTGTACAAATCTATTCGAATAAAATTACTGTCCTCTTTAATTCAAAATACTTACAATTCTCCCAAAGTCCAGAAACTTGAAAAATCTGTGTTGTGCAGATCTAGGCGATTGAAACTGAAATCCCTTAAGACAAAAACAAAAAAATAAAACAAAAAAAATTAGAAATCTGTAATAAATAAATATAATATTAATAACTATGTCAGTTTTGAAACAAAATATGCTTGCATAATGTATTTTTAGATCAGGTGGAATTTAGATAACTAATACATTGTCAACTAATAAGTTTCTAGATACCTTTGGAAATGATACCTCAGGTTCACATAGGAGTCTAGTTACTAATGTAGGGGAGTTAATTGACATGAATCGCAGGAAAAAAGATGTGCAAAGTTTGTCTGACAACGAGAAGGTCTTATTGTCGGGTATTACAGAAATAGCCAATCCTTCAGGAGCATACCTACTTAGCTGAAATGCTCTCAATCTAAACAAATAATAATAGTAACTTTGTGATACAATAACAAAAATGAGGCACTGATTCTCAGAATATATTTTGAGTCAGGTGACTCTCGCATATGGCTGGTAGAGGCAATTGGTTACTGTCCAGAAAAATATCAAAGAGCCGCACGCACTTGATAGCCCCCATACTCCAAAAATTTAAACAAGAAAGTTTCATGACTATTGTGGTATTGCTCTTAAGGAATAAACTCTAATTGTAACTTTTCGGTCACCGTCTTATTTTACTTCAATTTTACTCTATGCTTGAACTCAGCTTTAACCTTAACCATGAGCTTTGCTGACTGAGTTCCCCGAATCGAGGCTTCATTCCAACTTTAATTCTTACGACTGGTGGCGGGTTTTTTTTATTGACATTATACGCGTGGTCTGGTATATTCTAAACTTGATGTGACAAACTATTTTTTAAAGTTCTGATTTGTAAATTTACTAAAGAAGCCTCTCGCAATTATGTGGTTGTCTCCTTTATTTCAATTTTATCGTCATTCTTATGATATTTATAATACTTCAGCACGAGAAGGGGACCGTTATACCTGAGCCTAATTATGATTCTACATGTAACTCATGCCATCTGCTCAAATAATGACTAAAAATACTTTAATCATAAAAGTGCTCGATTATTAATGGACCATAGAGAAAATCCAAAAATAAAGTATTACAGATATGAAGGTTGTTTTTGTTTTACTAAAAACACTGATTCGTTTGTTCTATATGAGGATAGAAATCGAGACTTCAAGTATGGATAGAAATCTCGTAGCAACTAATCATAGATCAATGGTAATGTAAAATTCATTCACATCCCCACTCCAACACAAATACTCCGTAAGGCAACATATCTACTTCTTATTAATGATAGGGTTAATTTATGCAACCACTCATAAGTCTTTAACTACAAAGTACAACTACACTGCTAGGTTAACGTGGTGCAAACAACAGCGGCTATAGATCTTTCATCATTGATCACATTCTAATTGTGATGTCAGCCTGGAGAACGACCTATGCAGAAGGCACTGAACCAACGGTAAAATTAGGAAGTGAAATAATGGTCTGGAGGTGTTTTACCTTGTATGGACAGTGTTCCTTTTTCTCAAATTCATGATAAACTCAACAACAATGTCTATTGCATTATTCTTAATTGCAGAGTTTAACAGTCATAGACAATTAGCAGTCGCAGAGTTTTACTGGTTAGACCCAAGTTATTTCCAGTATGTATTGCCAGCTACCATGTTACGAGGTCCACCAATAATTGGTATGGAAATAAGTAAATTGGAAAAAAGGCAGGCCAAAAAAGTAGCTAGACAGACCAGTAAGTTGGTATTTGGTATCCAATTGACTGTCACCTAGACAGGATAGTCAATTACTATCCATATGACTGGCCGACCTTGAATTCTCATTTCATTTACATCGAAAATCTCTATGACGAGTTTGAACACCTAATTAGAAACCGTTCGAAATCAGCGAACGATCTTACATGACTTCTGCAAGCCAGATTCTATTTTATTTTATAACTGTCGCTGAACAGCCGACCCAATATTTAGGTTTGCGACTTGTGATGTTCAACTCCGTAGCCTTGTAATTTTGAACCCGATTCGAAAGACAAGGGAACTCGCGGATCAAGCATTGGGAGAAGTCTGCCTTCGTGGAGGACTTTTTGATGGAACTAATCCGCATTTGCATTACATGGAGAGGAAGAACACGAGAACCTCCCATGGTTAGCCTAACGACAAAGGGACTCTAACCCATGATCCGACTACCACTGAAGGTATTTCACGTCAGCAATGTGGTCGGCGCAAGCCGGATGCGGATTCGTATCGACCATCCATTGCCGGAATTCGAACCCGGTTCACCTCATTGGAAAGCGAACGCACCATTCCCTGAGTCATCGCGGCTCCTGTAAGCCAGATTGAAGAAAATACCACCATCTGTTATTAAAGAATTGTGGCTTAACTACCACTACGAATATTAAACATCAATTCACTGGTATATAACACATGCTAACTTGATTCAATCACGAGGTACCTTTTGATAGATGAAGGTTGGCATGGTCGAAAACTCCGCCCCCAAATTGGTGACCTCCGGGCGTGATTCGTACACGCAGAAACGCCCACTTCGCAGAAATCTTAACAGTAACGCCTACTTCGATGGATGATCCACATTGAACAGTTGACTTGCTACTTGTGATAGCGGCATCATCCACCTCCTCACTCTGTGGCTGCTCAGTCTCGTCTCGAACATACACACAACGTCGGCCAGCAAACACAAACCGTTCATCGGATTCTATCTCTGATAAAATTCTGGTGGGTGAATATTGTGGCGTAACTACCACTACGAATATTAAGCATCAATTCACTGGTATATAAGACATGCTAACTTGATTCAATCACGAGGTACCTTTTAATAGATGAAGGTTGGCATGATTGGCACTTCTTCCTCACAGAGTCTCTAGAAAACATGCCATGGAAAATAGGGGCTATAACTGCTTTATACTCTAGCGCCTATTAAATATGAATAAATGTCGCTATTACTTTTTTAATTACAGGTGCCCGAATACATTTTTGGAGATAGTATATTCAGCATTCAAATTTCAGCAAGTAAACTCATGAGTTAATAAGAAGTATTTTATTTATGTTTATTGCTATCAACTATTTTTCTGTCCAAGATTATTTCTCTTCATGGCACCTATTGAGATATCACAATTAAATAAAAACTAAAAAAAGAGAAACTTTAATCTAAGAATAATACTTTTGATATAGATTTTAACATTAACTCGCAACTGCCTGATTTTATTTTTCATAATTTAGATTTCGGTAAATAAAATAATTTGAACAAATTTATTGAACTTTTAAATAAATCTAACTACTATAGTAAAATTTATTCAAAATTATTAAAATGCCTGCACTTAGCATGTGCTGAGAAAAAGAATTATAATAATTACTTTTAACTATAGCGGGTACTTTTTGTCACAAAACGGAAGCTTTCCACTATAAATATGCACATATTATACACAACATTTTTAACAAACATTTGTTCAAAGTTGGAACATTTTTAACATTTGCAACATTTTTAAGAAGCATAGAAATTATAATTATCAATACTTAGTAGCATATTATCATGCAATTTTACCGAAATTGTAACACGATGTTAAAATGAATCATGTTTGCAAATAAGTTGATCCAGGTTATTGAAGAATCATGTTCAAGAAGACTTTGCTTGATAATTAAGTTAAATCCGACGTTTTACATGAGGAACTTAATGCTATAAATAAGGATTATAGTTATGTGAATAAATAAAGCAGTTTGTAACTTCAATTTAACTGAGAAATGCTTTAAAAAGTATAAAACATTTATCAGTTACGTAACTAATGTCCATGCATCAATTTAAAAGCATTTTTCTTTTTTAGTTGGATAGTGATTATTACAAAAATTTAAAAATACTAACTAATTATATATTATTATAAAACGTCCAATTTTATGCATCTTAATGCTTTTCTGTCAATTCGTTAAGTGTAGAAGTAGGTAAAGTATATGAAATAAAATGCGAGGTTCTTAATGTAATTGCCTATTATTTTTAATATAAGGGTTAAATATAGTAGGCTTAGAAACTATAATGAGAGATTTTTACTTTATTTTAACTTACAGTTTCCGTACTTTTTCTGGAAGATTTGAAGGCAACATTGAAGCATTTTGATGCATGCAGGAAACATATAGCCCGACGCATGTGCAATGCTTTGGACAAACAAGATCTGAAATTAAAAGTATATTATTTCATGCATGTTCTTTTTTTAAAAAAATCAAAATCTTGCTTTTTTCCTGATCTAAAGTTATATTTATAATTTGAACAACAAACAGAAATTACTTTACCTTTTTGGTTGAAATATTATCAAAGTTTTTTTTTTTTATTTTCTGGAAGTTGGAGATAATTTGAAATAATTCTTCGATATTTATATTTTTGTAAAAGATGCATTAACCTATGAGAATTGCAGCATCATGCAGAATATACAAATTTTTAAAATTCCATCCCCTTATCCAAAAAGCTGTTCTTTTCATTTTAAGCCTATCAATTCATCAGTAATTACTTTCTTAATTGTAAATTTCTTGTAATTACTTTTTTAATTTGTTTTCCTGATACAAAAGGTTATCAAATTCTCCTCACCTTAAACTAAGTGTTTATGATAATTTTATGCTGTGATATTTTATAAATTTTAAAACTTTATTTTTTATTCAATTAGAGACAATAACAATTTCGATTATAGACACAATATTGCAAAAATTGAAACCTTATACATTGTTTTGAATTATTTAAGACTTTTAAAAATCCATTTTAAAACCTTAAAATCTATTACAGTGAATTTTACATTTTCCTAGCTTCAATATATTTTGAAAAGCTGTGTTCTTTTAAATATTCAAACGAGAATCTAAAATAAAATGTTATGTTGAAAGCACAAAGAAAAACTGATTTTGAATTTCTCACTCTAAAAACATACTGAATAATAAATCTAGAAGTTTAAGCTGACGGACAAGAAGTGTTGCTCAATCTTAATAAATCCTAAGCACTTAAATACTTTAACACTAGAAGGAAGGAGGAGACCACTTTCGTCTATTGATCTGTACTTCAAAAAATAACTTACTGAAAGTATTGAATATTGATAACTTTTAATAAAAGCTTTAACAAACTTAAAAGTAAAACTTTTCATATAAATCTTTTTATTAACTTTCCCCATAAAGAACCTTATACCTGGGATAATGGGAAGGACTAGTGTTGCCTCTATGGTATTTCGGTAGGGACTCTATAACTCCAGGTAAATTTGGGTATAAAGTGCTCTTTAGTACGCATAATATACCCTAGTCTCAATATAAAACAGCAAGAATATATTCAACTAGTATTTATAGAGAAAAGTAAACTCAATTATTTAAGAATCTAATGTTTGAGTAAAGATGAAGCGTCAGTGCTTCTTTTAATGAAATATTTTTGCTAATAAAATCGTTTAAAATGCCATACGATTTTGGTGACCAATTCTCTAATATATTTCTATTGAATTAACTATGATTATATTTTAAGATTTTAGATGCCTAATTGATCTGCACGCAAACAGTCTTGGAAGAAACACAGTGGTCCTTCAATCTTTCAGGTATACAGCAATGATCAAAAGTCTTTCTAGTGTTAAATGTATATAAATAAAATTGCGTGTCAAAAATAAAACAGTGTACTTAGTTAATTAGTATTAAGGCGTATTGTGTTTGACTTAGTATATTTGTATTCATTTTCGTCGGAGATAAACTAAAATAATATTCACTAAATTTAGAAATAATAGAAAAATCTAGATACAACACCACATAATAGCTCATCATCTCCGTGTGGACAGTTTCTAATTCCATCACAAAGTTTGTTGATAGGCAAACATGAACTTCTGTTATAACATTTATACTGTCCAGGACAATTATATGGATCTAAAAAACAAAAAGGATAGATTTAAATCTTTAAAATACAATATTGCTATTTCTATAGCGGTTTTGAGTCAAAAAATTTTACTTAAGCTTAGAAAAATGAAATATAAGTGGTAATATTAAATTGAAATAAAATATAATTTTTACTGCCTTTACAAATCGCATAATTATATCAAATCGCAACAATTATAACAAATCGCAATAATTATATCAATTACGAGAGAATGTCCTGCCTTTCAATTATTAATAATTTCTTGTTACAAGATTTCTTAATTGCGATAGAATAGCGTATCAATGAACTTTTTACTGGTTTAATTAAATTAAAATTAGACTATATCACTAATTAAACGTAATTATTTTAACTAACTCGTAACATATTTCCAAAATATTGATCAAAGGTGCCTCGTCTCTAAAATAACTGTATTTCATCATAAAGCATTTTCTTTCAATTTTATTCATACAATCTAAATACAATGATATATTAATATTTTTATTTTATTATATTTATACGCAATTTTGTTTGAACTTATTTGATGATATAATTCCTAAACGATATACTAATTCTCGTTAACTATTAAAATTACCTCCCATTTATTTCTTCTTATTTAGTGACACAATCTGTATTCAAAGCATTATTTTTATTCCAAGCGCAGTTGATCGCTTTTAAAATCCAGGTAATTGTTTATTTCGTTTTGATAATCATATTAAAGAAAAATACTTGCATAAAATCATTATGATGTAATGTATTTCATTATAATGATGTAATGTAATGTATTTCATTATCAGATTGTTCTTCGTTTCTGATGAAAATATCGACTTTAAAAAAGCAATTAGTACAAAAAAGCAATCACGGAGTTTGTAAACAAAGTGATCAGCGTTGCAGTCTTCTTAGTTATTTAAAATATCGTTTTATCCCTTGCAATTTTTTTTTAAATTTTCAGTTTCATAAACTTACTTTTTTATTAAATTAAAATAAAAATTTATATTGCCTTATTACTTAATTTTATTATAGCATACCACATTCTTCTTCATCTCCTCCCCCAATACAATCCCACTTTCCATCACAAACATACATTGTCGGAATACAGTAAGAATCTGGACATTTCACATAATCTTTTGGACATTTAAAGTTCTCTGCAAAACAAAAATTAATCTATTATCAGGAATTGTATTATATTATCATAATATATTATCAGGAATTATATTATATTATATTATATTATAATAATATATTATCAGGAACTATATTTAACATGTTATCAGGAATTTCCTGATAAGGTTATATGTTGAATTCATTATAAGTTTTGAAATTATTATATATTTGTAAATACTTATTTAAAAAAAATACTTTTAAAATTAAAATACAAATATCATATCGATTTATTAAGTGCATTTAAAAATAAATAAAACGAAGCTAATAAAAAGCTGCAACAAAATCATTTTTAAATCATTGAACCCGTGTTCGTTTAGAATAAAACTATATTTTACCTTGACAGTGATTTAAGAGTTCATTTAATTAAAAAATTTAGCGAAACTTATGAAGATTATAATGAAACTTCCAAATTATTTTTACCGCTATCCCGTTTTTTTACAATTGCAAAAGTTAATTTTAAAAGATAAATAGTTTCTGAATGATTATCTCAGCAGTTTTCATTAATTTATAAAGATTCTCCTCCAGCAAATGCACTGAGTTCTTAAAGTTTAAGCTTGTCTGATTGAAAACGCTGGTAAGTTTCTTGTCTTTCGTTTTCTGTTGCATTAGCTTCATTTTAACAGATCTTAGATATTTTTGTGTCTCTGATTTCAACTCTGCAATCGGGTTCTATCTTCAAGCTTCAGCTTTCTTCGTCTAAGAAACTTTCCGTCTAAGAAAGAAATTTTTTGTTTAGCTAAGAAATTTTCCGTCTATATTTTATCGAGATGCACAAGTTGCAAATGACTGTGTTTCAATGTTGAGACTAACTTTAGGCGTGTTAAGGCACATCATCAGTATTAAAATTGCATAGGAAACCATGACCGGAAGTGTCATCATACAGTGCTAGCTACAATTCCTTATTATGAATTGCTTCTTCCCGTGCTTCAGAATAGGTCATAATAGGAAAGCGGCCGCGTAGGACGATATCTTCGGGCAAAGGTACCTATACAATTTTACTCCTGATGATGTGCCTTAACTCACCTAGAAGTTTTTTTCACAACATTTAAGTGACCCCTTATTATATATAATGTTTTAACACATACATTTCGTAAAGAAAATAGACTAAAAATGTCATCGAAAAAATCTGTAGCTTTAGATCCAAACTAAATTCAGATTTGAAATTCCAATACCCAAATTAAGCAATATCAAGTTATTGTAAAAAAGCAATAAAAAATTTGTTCCCCAGTGTATTCCTAATATTTTTTTTGAAACTTGCAGAACAAATTTCAAAGGACTTTATGTTAAATATCAGTATATAATATTCTTATCAGTATATGGAATAGACAGTACTCTAATAATATTAGAGCATTAAAATTTTTAAAACAATTTTGATTATTAGTTCCTTGACGTTGTTAATATGCTAACTTATGCTCGTTGGCAAAATAATTCCGTTTTGCAAATTGGAAGTAAATAATGATGGAAAAGAATAGAGGATATTCTCTTCACTAACTTTCCTACATAAATTACAAGTAAGCGATTTAAAATGTCGTGAATAATTTAAATATCAGAGTAAAAAATCAGGCAACAGCGCCAGAAATCCTATCAAATATAATAGAGAAATCTTAATAAAACGAGACTCAAAACCAAATAATTCTTGATTTTATCAAATCGTTTATTTATTGAAAAAACATGATTATTATAATTACTTGGCCAGTTCTGTAGTGCTTTGAGAGATGGAAAAATCGGAAACATTTTGATATACTTATAGAAATGAAAAGAAAAACTATTTTCACTTCATGGTATTTTTTGCTAAGTTGACATATTATAAAATGACTTATATTTTTTTTTATTGAGCCTACAGAAATAGAGAAATAAAGTTGGTCATTGTTCAATGTAAAAGAAGTGTTTATTATATTTTATTGATATTTGCTTACTTATATATTTATATTTTTTAAAAAAATGCAAGTTACACTTTTAGCAAAAATTATCAGGAGTCATAATAGATTTATGTTATAGATCTCAGATGATTCTGTTTAATCAATTTAATTCTTAAAGTTCTGTTTTGCTAATGCAGGAATTATAATCTAATTATGGAGAAGTATACATTTCTGTTACAGATCTCTAGATGATTCTGCCTAATCGATGTAATTCTTAAAGTTTTGTTAATTCATTCATTTGTTAAAATAGATGTGTGAACAACAAATACAACTATCATATATAGTATAGAATTAAATCTAAGAATAAAAGAAGTATTCTAACCGCAATCCTTAAGATGGCTGACATCTCTGCATCCTAACTGATACCCATACTGATCAAATTCATAAATACATCTGAAATTAATAGGTCCATAATGTCCTGTGTGGCATTTCATGTATTGCGTTGTATTTGTACAACTTTCATTGGACTCAAAAGCTAAATTTTAAGAGAATTATTTTTAATCAAAATAATTTGTATTTGAAAAAAAAGTTCAAGACAATTCGTAATGAAAATAATAATTTTACCATTGCCAAAACACTCCAATGGACCAATTCTATGATTTCCAAACTGTCCCGTTCTAAATGTGTATCCAAATCTAACCTAAAATATTGAATATATGTGAGGAAGGAAATTTTATTATACCGTGCGCTCTGGAAATTAATTAATGTTGCATGGAACTTCCTAACCAGGTACTTCTTGCACTATAAGAAATGAATTCAGATGAGATTGAAACAAAACTTTAATGTCTGAGTTCAAACTACATTCCAGATTAAAAGTTTAAAAATAATGTCTAATAACTCAAGTTTATCCTAAAGAATAGCAAAAAATATCAGAATAAAATCCTCTTCATTTCCAAGTCAACAGCTGTAAGGCCGGATAAACTTCAGCAAAAATCTTTCGTATTTTTGTGTACGGCAGAAATTACTTTTCTTTGTTTTCTCCGAAACAAATAACAGGATGTTAGCAAAATAATCACGATCGACTACAAAGAGCACGCCAGGAATTTCATATTAAAAATTCAGTAAATCTAATATAATAATTGTAACACGCATATTTAAACTGAACAGAATAAAACCGTGGACCGTAGTAGCCCAATGGTTAGAGAATAGAACTCTAGTCCAGAAGGCCCGAAGTTCAATCCACAGCTCCATCGAAGACCCACTGAGTGCATGCAATATACGTGTCTATAAAATCTATGAAATCAAAAGTCCTGTGATTAATCGCTGAAAAGTACAGTGGGTAAAGGGATCTGGAGAAAATTTCCTTCTTCTTTAGATCTGAGTGTAAATTAAGGAAGTGGCCTCACGAATGAGTAGTGCTGCCTATTATCCGTGGGGTTCTGAGCTAAGATGTACTTTCACCCGTGTGGTGATCTCTTGTCAAACAAAAGGTGCACCTTCCTGACTGACGAGCTTGGCATGTTCAAGTGCCATTTTTAAAAACACAATATATGTAATTAAATAAAACTAATATCTTTACTGTGACACAACAAATTACCAAGACAAAAACAAATTCTATAACGGAATCCCTACTTGAATGGAATCCACCAATAATTCAGTAGATTCCACTATAATACTAGAATTCATTATAAGCATTTATAAAGATCGAGAAGAAAAAATGGTTTATATCCATGAAAGCTGATTCTGAGAAGAAAAAAAACAGACTTTTGCACATAGACAGCACAATTTTTCTCCAGTAAAGCTCATCTTCACTGCGTAATAACTCTCAGGGAAAACCAATTTTACACGTTCTGAATTTTTCAAAATTTAGCAATCCTCAAAATGCAACAGATAGCTATCTAATCATCAAATATGGTTAATAAAAGTGTGGTATATAAAATTTCTTCCCCTATCATGACCATATTTCATTTCAAAAGATAGAAAGAATTTAATTACATGAAATCTGACATCGTTCTACCAAATATTGATAATGCACAAATCAAATAATATTTACTTGAGAGCTACAATAATAGTAACTTGAAATTAATATTTCTCTGCATTAATTAAATTCTATCAAATGAAAACAATAAAAAAATTCTCACCTCCAAAACAGGAAGCGCCCTTTTATCTGTGAGGTAACCTTCATCTTTTGACCATTCATATTTTTTAACAGAATCACAATTGCAAGCGTAACTAGTATTTCTGCACCCTCTATTCTCGTAGCAACCACACGTGTTATTCGCTTTTGCACCTCCCCATCTGTACTGCGGCTTTCCATTCCAGGCTACCCACCAGCTCCAGGGTTTTCCTGATTCAAAATGGAATCCAGTACCACTGCATTCCCAGCTAATTTCTTGCCTGCAGTTTTTGGAAGCGTTCGTTAGAGCTTTGATGCTATCCATACCTACAGAGTATATAAGGGTTCGACCATAGACTCCTGGTCCATCTTTATTAGACCTGACGTAAATACTTTCTTCTGAATCATGGTGGACTATAGTAACTACTTTATTTGGTGTAGCACCCATTTGGCAATAAACTGTAAAAGGAGATGCCGGTCCATCCGAGCCATCAGAGTCTATTATGTAATAACCACTGGTACGAATATTATCCAGAATGTAAAGATCTAAGCAGGTTTTTCTGTCTGTGATAGAAAACAAAATCAATTTTCAATCAGTTGGTACATTACTACACTATGCAAGCAAATTGTTCTTTAATAAGTTTCATACCCTATAAATTTTGAATTGCAATTGATATTGTAATAGAATCTCTAAAGAATAATTGATGATACTGCTTTCAACCTTTCTTTATAAAACTCAAAGATAGCATTTTTATGATTTAACTGTAAACGGTAACCATGCAAAAAATAAATAATTAACAAAAAAAGTATTTTATAAAATTGAAAGGCTGAAGATACAGCTGGATTTAGTTTTAAGGTTTTTAAGCTTTAATTAGTTAAATACTTTAATACGTTGAGTTTAGTTAAATATTAAACGAGAAAGAATCTCTACGAAACTGAACGCTTTTTTGATTTGGTATTTAAGATATTCCTTGACAATGAAATAACGTAATCGAATGCAAAAAGCATTCCAATTTTTCGGCACCGTTTTTAAAAATGATACAGTTTTTTTATGGCCCGAAAACGAGCAGTATAACTACAAAAATATGATAACAATATCTAGCACTGTATTTTTTTCTGCAATTTTACAGTTTAGTTACATAATCTCAGCATACGATTCTTTACATTATACTGCACAAGACCGAGTGCTAATTAATGATATGAATCCATTTTATGGTTAATTTACATATGTATATATATATATATATATATATAAAAAGGTCAAAATANGAAGTAAGTGACTTATATATATATATTACATATGTATATGTATTTTTTTTATATATTTTTTTTTAATTACAATATTTTACAAATTATGTAAGATGTCTCACTGAATTTAGCTACTATACGATGTTAAAAGTGAATTTAAGGAGTAATTATTAAGCTAAATTAATATACATGGGCTTTTTTTTTTTCATTTTTATGACTGTATTTGGAAGTTAGAGGACGTAAAATTTATTATGAGGCAATGCGTTATGCTCTAATCATTTTAATAAATAAGAAAAATTTTCTATACTTTATTTTTCACATAAATCAGAAAATAAATTAATTAATAAATAAATATTATTTAATGCAATACCTGTTTTAGAGCAAAGTTTCTTTTCCTCCCCTCTTCCATTTCTATCTTCTCTTCGAGCTGCAAACGCGATAAAAAAGAAGGATTTAAAAATAACGAAGAGTTTAAATACCTTCATTCAAAAAACTACACCTTTGATCTTTATCATAGAAATAGTACTATCAAAAGATACAATAACATATATTTTCATTTAACCATACGGCTTTTTCATTAGAATTTTGGCTTAGCATGTTATAACAAATTTTTTACTCAGCTCTTTTTCGAGTTAAAATTTTTATTTTATACAGATGTTAATTTTAACTGAGGTGTAAAGAGCTTTATATTATTCTAACCATTCTATCAGTGATGAAATTTAGAAACAAAATTTTATCAACCTTTAACTGATTTATCTAGCTTAAAAGTTAAACTCAAAAATAAATGTTCTTGTCAATCGAAATAAGCATTTGCTTTTATACTGTGGGTCATTGTAAAAGAATGTTTTTTAAACTAGCATTGTTTTATGAAAAAAAGAATGTTATTTTTTGGAGGAAAAAAAAGTTTGCCACCGAGCAATCTAAATCCTTCAAAACTGCTAATGTTGAAAAATCATTTTAACACATGAATTTAAAATCAGCATGCTCTTTAAGAATGCTGAAAGAAAAATTTAGCTTTAAAAAATAAACTTTTGACAAAACAAATCAAAAATCTAAAATTAGAACATCGAAAATTTGCCCTGCGTAGTTAATATTTTCATAAAAAATAGTTATCGAAGAGGAAAAATTTCTAAACTCTTAAGCATGGTTTCTTTTAATAACCTTGGTTGAAATATGAATATCATTATGTACTACAGGCTTCAAGATACTATATATTAATATCTGTATTGGCTCCCAAAATTGCTGCATTGGCAATTTCAGAAAATCATTTTAAAACTTCAGTTTCCACTAAAAGATTTTGAAATATCTAAACAAACAGCAAAGTTAGTTTTTGCGAAAGTTTTGAATTTAAGCATAGCTATGCATAATTAATTAGGCATATTAGAGTTTTTTTTATAGCTATCTCAAATATTTTAATTTAAAATTTTCCTACAACTTTATGTTCACACACCAAATAAACGAAATTAATAAATTTAATTTGCATTGCTACATGAAATAAAATGCATTTCAAATTTAACTTACAACATCCTATTTGTTCGTCTTCATGATATTTTCCAGGGCAGTCGCGATGACCGTCACAAAGTGTATATCTCGGAATACAAGTACCATCATAACACTGAAAAGTACTGTTTGGATTACAAGAACCTGTAAAGTATAAATAACTATCATTGAAATAACTAATGAAAGTAAACCATTTTTTGCTGGCATTGTGAATAAAAATCATGTTACATGTTTTGTTTTTTCTTTTTTGTATAATAAAGATGCTAATATTTTTTAATTTCAACTGATGTAAAAAAAATTTTAAAAAATTATAGGATTTGTAAATGTAACATAGTTTACTTTTCATAAAAGCTTTATATGAAAAAGTACAATGAAAATGTTTAATGGTTTCTGTCTGTTAGACTGTTATAACATTTTGAATTAATTAACTTTCATTCTTTGTGAATAAATTTTTATTTTATATCGAGTAACTTTATACGGTATTATTTTTACTTATTTCATTACGCAGTAAAAAAAAAACTATTAAATTTACGAAAAAAACCGTCAGTTGCTGCGCCAATGTAAAACCTCTTAACTCACGGAAATATTATTATTTAAAAACAGGCGCCTGTTTTACCAGCAGACAAGTGATGTTATTTTATCAAACTCTGTTATTCTACAAAATAAGTATAGAAAAAAATCATAAAATGATGCGAAAAAAAGTAGTTATTGTACAGTAAGTGAAACTGCGTCGTAAAAACTAAAATTTGATTTGACGGCTTTCGAGGAAAAGCATAAAAAAAACATTTTGTCAACCAAAACAGCTTTAAGCCGTCAAATATGCAGAGAAGGATGTAAAAAGAACCGGAGTTTTTTATAGTATAGAATTGTACTATAATAGTCTTAAATCTGTTTCTCAAAAACTAATTTTCGCTAAAATAAAAAAAATAATAAAAATAAAAAATTTTGTTTTGTTTATAAAACATATTTTATTACTGAATCAAATCATACCTTTGCAGTCATGTTCATCCGACTTGTCATAACAATTAGGCAACAAGTCACATCTTTGTTCAAAAGGTATACATTGCCCATTTCTACACTGAAATTCATCTGCTTTGCACTCTCTGTGATCTACAATATTAATAAATATTATATCCTTTTTATCTTTTATACAAAGATCAGCTAGTTTTAACAATATTGTTAAATTGCAAGAAAAGAAATCGAATGATATATAATGTAGGCAAGGTTCCTCTTACCTTTCATAAAGGTAATTTTCTTAAGATTTCATTTCAATGTATGGAATAATTATTGAAAAATGCCATGCAATTTAATCCGTGCCACTATTGTCACTCCATATAAAGGAATATTTCAGGTTAGCGCAACATGTAAACTGGATGACTGACGAACAAAAGACTGTACTTTTCGCAGAGACGTCCATGTTTAGCCTCTAAAGAGATAGTAGGCGTTGTTTGATTTGGAGATAACCTGGAACCCGATATCATTCAAACGTCCTTGAAAGAGATGCATACCAGGGAAGAAATGCCTGTGTGTGAGGTATAGTTCGTTCACCAGGAGTTGGCAATTGGCTCCGCCTTCATCACGTGGTATCAGACGAGACTATTTCGCTATTTTTGGGAGAAGATGTGAACAATCCTGAACAGGGTTGCTATTTGACGATCATATGGCAAAAACATTTATTTATATGCATTTTTTAACATTAAATGTTTCATAAATTTGATGTTATTTCTCTCTTTTGAGTGAATAGTTTGTCCTTTTTGAGACATTTTGCAGCAATGTATTTAATTACGTAAAGTAAGGAAAGGTATAATAGCAGGTAATAAAGCGAAGTAAGTGACTGAAAAAGAATTCACTGTTTTCGTTTGGCGGGCATTAAGGGTTGTGTCAATTTCAAGCGTGAAGACTTTTCTCCTCTTACTCCCGCGCTGAAATGAACTCTTCGTCCGAGAAGGTGGAGTCAAGTGTCAACTCCTGGGGAACGAACTATAGTATTTATTTAGGTGGATGCTGAGACCTGCATATCTTTCCGCACGGAACCGTGAATGCTCACGTGTATATAGATGATATCTTTGATGTTTATGTGTGCTCTTATGCTGGTGCAATAGGTGATGATTTCTGGCTGCTAGAAGATAATATAACGCCGCATAGGACTCGCATCGTGGATGTTTATCTTCAGCTGTATGTTTATATAGAATAAAAGAATAGTAAATTTTCTATATATTTTTATATTTAATATATTACAAAAGTATTTGTAACTATAGATACTTTGTAACTATTTGACTTTATCTATTGCATTATTTTCTTATTTTAAAGCAATTTAAATACTTAATTTAATAAAGATGCATCGTATAAGATTATTTTCAATGTGGTTTCAAGTACGCTCATTACTGAGATACTGAGACTCCAAATATCTTTTTTTTTCTTAACGTCCATCAAAAAGGAACTTTTTAAAACGCAAGCATTATTTTTAACTATCCCCAAACTACAAGTGAGGTGTCAAATGTCATCAATTTTATAAAGCAATAAATTTTAAAAAATACAGAATTGATTTAAGAACACCAACCACATCTAAATTCATCAGAAAGATCTCCACAATCATCTTTGTAATCGCAATAAGCTGCCATCGACACACATTTTGTATTGTGACATCGAAAACTGCTTTGAGGGCACTGTGTCTGAGCTAAAATAATAATAAATAAATTTATAATTGATATATTAAAAGAAATGTTAGCATTTATTTAGCAATCAAGTTGAATAAGTTACTACACAACTTTTCAGATTTTAAAGTATAACTTAAACGATCAATTTCATCTGTGTGATACTTACAGCAACTATCTTCATCGCTTCCATCCCTGCAATCTTCTGCTAGATTGCAAACGAACTGAGTTGAAATAATCTCCTGGTTTCTACACGAAAAGTATTTTTCTGCTGTCACCACTATAGGTGTTGCACTAGTTGATTTCAGCTGAGCAGGAATCGAAGGAAATCGTTCCAAAATGCCTAGCATAAAAATTTAAGAAATTGAAATGAGTAACATAAAAATATTAAGCTGTAAGATATACTTTATAATCTAAGAGCTTCATTTAATTATCATAAGGAGGAAGAAGTAGACATGCTTAATCCAAAAATTATCATACCAGAAAAGGATGGCGGTAAATCCCTGTGACATTGACGGGCTAAAATCTAGTTTCATTCATATGGTGCCTGATTCCTTAGTTAGTAACATAAACTCTCCATCACTCTTCAATAGGAAATTCAACATTTTCTGATTTGCCTCTCTCAACTACCGCTTTCTTTTTGATATTGTTTTCAGCTTTATTTTATCTTTCATTTATTTGGAACCTTTGCGTTTTCTTTTTCAAACCTGTTTCAATTTTTTAAAAGAAATTACGTATTTCTTTATAGATTCAAAAGAAGGCTTGTAAATTATGCAGCACTTATTTCCGTGTGATATAAAAGGCCTGTATGATTTGAAAAAAAATTTGAAGATAGTGAATGAATGTACTGTCAGAAACCTATTTTATTCAGCATGTTTTATCATGTCAATGTGTTATGTGATTGTTACAGAAACGCTTAGTATTTAAGTACTTGTGAAAGTTGGCCAATTAAGTATCCTACAGAATCACATGGAATCAAATAGGTGTTTCCCGATTAGAAAGGAGTAACGATCTTTCCAATCATTTTTTAATTACAAAGGTATTTGTTGCATTTTTACATCCTATTACAATGAAATATCAGAGCTCTTTTGCTTTGTAACATATGAGGTGCAAATAAAAGGTTTGGTAATTGGAGAGACATACTAAAAACAAAATGAGTTAAAAATGCTGCCATAGAGAAAGACTTATGAAAAATTGGCACGCAGCAAATGTTACAAGAAACTGGTCCATATTAGCCTGTTCTGTGCAATCAAATGTCGTGTGTGTGAAAACGTGAGTCAAAATTTAATAAAAACATTGAATTTTTCTACCAAGTAGTTTTCTACGTCCTTAGAAACGTTGATTGTGAACCAAATTGCGACATTTAGTGTGATCCAGTTTATCGTGCCAATTCTAAACGTGGAATGAGACGTTGCAGTGTAGTGCTGCCATCTGTTGAGGAGCGAGAGAGTTTGGTATCGTTATCAGTGGTCATCAATACAGGCGCTCGGGAAGACAGTTACGTTTGCCGCGGGCTGGGTTCGAACCAAGGACTTTCGGGTCCGCAACAGGAAACATGTGCGAACCACACGATAGATCACCATGGTAGATCAGGATAGACCAGGAAACAACAATCATGATAGCGAGATATTTTTTGCTTTTATATAGAACTTTTTTCCTATACAGAAAGAAAAAAATCTGCACCCAAGCAAATAAAATCTACATGAATGGTCGCTTGTTTTATCTATTTCGAAAAAAAAAAGAAATTGTTCTTGGACAGATTAAGAGGTATATAAATTTCCGTAGTTTCGGAGAACAGAAATTTCCTGTAATAAATTTACAGAATTGTTCTACCTTTAGAGATATTTTTTTAAGAAAGGGAAAAGGAAACCACTGGTGATGACGGCAGAAAAAATAAATGAATGCGACAGATGGTAATTAGAAATTAAGGTAATTTGGAAATCAGATGTAACACATTATAAATAAAGGTTTGAGAACGCCAAAAATTTATTTCCTATGATGTGGGGATATTATTTCAGCAGCTTCATCGACTATTTAAAACTGTATTGTGGTTGCTTGAGGGCGACTGTTTCAAGACCCACGCTAAGCATTCGTCAACTCACCAAATGCAATAAAATCGTAAATTTTGCGAATAAAATCGTGTTTCGGCAAAAGTATTGGTGAACGAATTTTTCCACTGGAAAGTAAAATATATATTTAACTCGATCCTCAAAATTACGCCAAAAGGAATTTTTCTAAACAAATCACTATCTTTTATTCGATTACAGTAATTTTCGGTAGATGCGCCCCACAACCAATTAGAATTTAGTCCAAATAATATAAGCCTGAAACAAGCTACCATAAAATAGTTTTCTATGGAAAGAAATTTAATCATAAAAAATTGTTATGATTTGCATTTGACGAAGACTTTCGAAAATTGGTGAATACTTTTGATATTTGGCTAATTTACTGACTATAATTTGAAATCCTTAAGGCGGGTCCTGCTGGTGGCAACTTGTTTTAGTTGTTTTAGACTTCCATTTACTGATCTTTGTAGAAGGATCATCTGAATGCGTGATATGATATCATATCGACGCTGCTGTAACATGTTGTTTTTTTTAAAAGCAGGTAATACAACTAATCTCTTGTGAATATCATTATGTTTAAAAAAATATTGTGCAATTCTGTGACTAGTACCCAATACACAAATCTTTATAATGACAATGTAGTGTAAACACATTGACTAAAAGTCCCCGAAAAAGCAAAATATTTATTATTAAGGAAAAATAAATATACGTTTGCATACCTGCAAGTCTATCACTATTCATTTTGCAAATGAAACTACTTATGGAGGAAAGAACTTCGTTGTCACCACCAGATTTATTTGGGTCTTCTTCTCCCCAATAAATACCATCTCCTTTGTGAAAAGCTAAATTTCCTAAAGAGCAAGGTAGATCATGCCAATGAGCAGTTGAATGACCACTGTCCACTCGCAACATTGTACAATCCTGATATGCACCACCGTCTGGCTGTGTTCTCAGAGTACGACCTGCGGGTGCCCTGCAATAGAGTAACTATAACAGCCTTGAAAATGAGAGCTTGACCATAACAGCTTTTGAGAATCGTTAAAAGAATATAATTTTATTCATATATGCTAACATTCAAATATTATCATCTATTAGTAGGGGAGAGTGGGGTCAATTGTGACATTTTTTACTTAACTATTTTTAACTAACAAAAAATCCAATATATTATAAGTATTAATTGACAGACGAGTAAAGTAGACTATCCTCTACTAGAAAAAAAATAAGTACCTTATTTTAATTATTATTATATTAGTTATTAGCAATTTTTGACAGTCGTGCACTTGTTACAATTGTCCCCACTTACGGGGTCAATTGTAACAGTTCATAAATTCAACTAAGACATAGTTAATTATACATATTATCATAGTTGTGATATATTTTTTTATTGATCAAAATAGTAGTGATATTTTAGGAGTAAAAATAATAATGAGCAGAGACCTAAAGGGTTAAACTTTTAACTTTAAGGGGTTAAAAATTTTAATTTATGCTGTGAAAGGTGACAAATAAAATAATGCACATGCAACATAATATAAATGATATAGGAAACTATTGGTGGTTCTTAAAGAGTTAAGTAATGGTTTGTAAACATAAGATTATTTATTTTCAGCTGTTACAATCGTCCCTTTACTTATTGTTACAAGCGTCCCCAAGACGCCATTTCAGCTTCATTTGTTAAAAACAATGCTAGTTAATTAACAAAACTAATCTTTTTTTCTGAAATGTTAATTAAGGTGTCCACTTACATATTCGGTTAATAATTTTTATTTGTTCAAACAAAATTACTTTGTTACAATATAATATTCTAATACCAAAAAAAGTGCTTACGTAGCGTGAAAATATCTTTTGTGATGTAACTCTTTCAAAAGTACATAAAAATGGTTGCCAGCAGGGGTGTACATGTAGATTTATTAAATACACCTTGCGCGCCACCTAGGAACCAAATCTGGAACCCGACACTCGAAAATTTTGCTCTGTTACAATCGTACCCTGTTACAATTGACCCCACTCTCCCCTATTATAAATATTTAGATCTATTGGTGAACAAAAATATTTTTTCTACGTAATCATTCTTTTAAAATAACATTTGTATTGTTATAACATTTGGTGAGTTCACAACCGTTAATTAATATCTTCGTTTTGCCAAAGGAACAAATATATTAAAGACTGTTTATGCTTGCATCACATTGTGCATGAAGTTGATTGTTAAGTTCTTAATCATTTAACAAATCCCTATAACAGTAAATTATAACAATATATTAACATTATTTGCACGAAAAATAATAATTGTAAAACGGTTAATAAGATTAGACGCCTTTTTAAATAACTGTATATTAAAATATAGCGCAGAATTGCATTATTATAATAATAAAAAAACTATCTCTTAGTTTTAAATTCCTAAATCAAAAGCGTAATAATAACAGTACTGGAAAAACCTTTGAATTAGGGATACGAAAATATTTATAGAAAAACAATACCTTATTTTCCACCATGTTTTATTTTCTCGACGGCAGGGGGCAGTATTTGTGGAGGTTGTTTCAACTTCCGGTAGAAGAGTAAGGTATAAGAATTTCTACTGGTGTAAACTAAATTGCGTAAATCCTCATCTCAGCAATCAGTTTATAGAATATCAAAACAGGATAGTTTCCCAAAGTACTTCTTTTTTATATCTCCATCTGGTGTTTTAAAATATGAAGAACAAATTTTTTCACAAAAACACGACACAAAAATTTAATTCAGACCAACTCAGTACATACAAACAAACCCAGAAAGTCGGAAAAAGAAATAGTCACATTAATGCTATTATCTATGATGAGGACCTCAAGACTTCAGGTAGAATTTTTTTTTTTTTTTTTTATGATGGATAGTGAATAACTTTCATTAATTTTATGCTGATGATAACCAGAACAATATGATAACCGAAACAAATATTTTTGGATTAACTCTAATTTCGTAAGCGTTAAATACTTCATATGTTTTAAAATTTCTAAAATTACTATAAAAAATTATTTGTGTATAAATTTACCAATCTGTATAAATCATAGGATTTCCATCACTCCATCTATAAACTCCTTCTTTTGCTTCATCATTCAAACCTAGATCAAATAAAAACTATTATTTAAAATACATAAAGTAAGTCTATCCTTTTGTTACAAAAAGACACCAACAAAGCACATGAAATACAATTTAATAAACACAACATATAACTATAGTAATATACAATACTCTTTAACAAAAATCAAAGGTCTTTCATCAGTTTAACACTACAGTAGATAATTCTAAATAAATTGCCTTTTAATTTTTTGATTAGTATTTAAATTTTACTTCCTCTGGTGACCAGATATCCATTTTTTTCATTACGTAGAACAAACCATTCAGTTTTGAAAAGCCAATCACATCAAACTATGAGAATCAATAATTTTAATGAACTATTATCAGAAGCTTTCTTCTCACTTCTAGCATGTCGACAATTTAAGTTCAAATACCAAGTATATTTAACAAAAACTTGGAAGATGTGGAGAAAAAAAAGTTATAATTTCCGAGTACTAGATAGTTTAGCATTTTTTTAAACGTATATCTAAAGAAAATGTAGAAAATGAATTAAACAGTAGCGTGCATTGAGAGAACAAGGGAGAAAATTATTTTACGAACTCTGATTAATAGTTATTAAGATAAAGAGGGAGGAGTTAAAACCATCTGAAACTAGTTCTTTTTTTTTCTGTGCCCACCCAATTGAAGGTAGTCATTCTGGTCACAGTAGGGTAAATTTTTTGGCCACTTTTTCAGTGTCACCATATTAGGGGGGCCAACGTTGCTCCCATAGTAACGACCCATAGTACGGAGAATGAAAGAACATCCATGTCTTATACGGGATGTGAGATCAGCTTCCTGTCCATTATATAGAACGGTCGGCATCTGAAACTAGTTTATTAATGAATAAATCTTTCAAACTGTTCTAAGCTACAAATTACTGTAATACAGCCCTATTAAAAAACAAATTGGTTCTTGATGATTTGAATCCCTCCTTTGCTCTTTTCAACTTCAATTATACTTTGTAAAGTTGCTAGGATTTTTTTCTTTCTAAAATAAAACAATTATTTTTTACTTTACTTACCTATATATAAGGATTTGTGTTTTGCATCCCAAAAGTTTGTTAAAAAGAAATGAACTACTGCATTTTCCTTTTTGTCTAAAATGCTCACTAAGTGACCATTTTGGTCACCTCCACGAGCCTTACATTTCGCTTCAGCCTCATACCATTGGATTCCATGGTCTTCATGATAGGCGTTATAACAATTTCCATTATAGTATTTCCATGGTGGTGGACAAGCTAGTTCGTCTGTTAAAAAAATAATACAATTTCATTAGAAATGTTTGTCAATTATTAAAGAATTATAATAGTAGTACTATTTAATAAATCGTAATTGTATTATCTTAGTTCATATTAAAATGGTCAGCTCTTATGTACCATTTCTTCAGAAAATAATCGATTTACAAAAACATTTGTTCCTTTTGAAAAATACTTTCTTTCAATTGTTAACCTTTAACAAGGTTTTATGAAACTTTTTCGCCAAGAAAATTTATTATTTATTTGTCCCTTTATTTGCCAATTATATAGAAATTAGAAATAAATTTAAAAATTTATTTCTAAGAAATAAATTTCAAATCTTAAAATTTGACAAATTCAACGTTAATTTCCTTTCCTAACTTGGGTTACTGTTTCATATTTGGAATTACTATTTTAAAACTGAGCATATATTGATTTAATCGTAATAATTGATTGTTTATACGTAATCATTTTTGCATAATCAGTTTTTTATCGTACACGATCATTTATGAATAAAAGATTTTATTCGTGAGCGTATCATTCTTTTGAATTTTTGATATAATCAGGGATGTTTCAAATAGGAAAAAAAACTTAAACTATTTAGCTACATAGAGATGCATTTATTTTTTTAAATAGTCGTACATTTTGTGGTTATTTTGTTCAAAATTATTTTTTCAAGAGCAATAAAAAGAGGTCTTAATGTATCATGGGCCAAAATTGCCGACCAAGCTCGTGATCCAATATTTACCACATAAACGTGATTCTTTCACTGAAATGACTGACAGTATTATATTTTCAAAAATGAGATTTCATTACTTTGTTCGTACCAACATGTCAATTAATTATTTAGTATTTATGTGAATATATTAATGTTCAGTATTAAATGTCATAATGTATTTGTCAAACGAATTTCTAACCAAAGAACGGCATTATTTCAAGATAAAAATTTCCCTTATGCAAACATTTTTAAGTTGATTTAAATATGCATTCGCAGGCACAAGTGTATAAAATTACTTTCTAAACCCTTTGCAGGTTGGTAGATATTCTATTTACGTCGTACTAGAGCTGCACAATGGGCTATCTTCGATGATCTAGGAAGCATCCTCGAGGATGACTTTAAGACCTGCCTTCATAATTTTGATCCTCTGCAGGAGGGATGGCTCCTCCACTTTGGTAGCCCGGGGACCTACGCGCGAAGTTCAGCACTTTACAATAGAACAGTTTTTTGAGTCGCGATGGCTCAGGGGATAGAGCGGAATTCCGCATCCAGTTTGCTGCGACCACAGTGCTGACGTGAAATATGACGTGGTGGACGTGGATCATGGGTAAGAACCGTCTTGTCATCAGACTAACCGTGGAAGGTTCTCGTGGTCTTCCTCTCCATGTAACGCAAATGCGGGTTAGCTCCATTAAAAAGTCCTCCACAAAAGCAAATTTCTTCCAATACTCGATCCAGGAGTTCCCTTGTCTTCTGGATTGGGTTTAAAATTACAAGGCAACGGAGTATAACATTAGTGGTCTTAAACCCATAAAATTGGGTCGGCTGTTCAACGACGGTTATAAAATAAAATAAAACAGAAGAGTTTAACTGGGACCGGTCCCTACGTAGGCTGATCAAAGTGGTCACCTATCCACTTACTGACTGCAGCTAGTGATGCTTGACTACTACTGGGAATCGTATATTTACTATCAGTTTACTGCGAGACCTAAACTCTTTGTAGGAGTGAAATTATATGTAAACAAGTATTGACTTGCAGTAAATGTATTCAAAAACTACATGAAATAAAACTAACCATCTAAATCATAAACTTGTATATCAGCAGGCATTTGAAAGCTCTTGGAAGCATATTTCAATGCAAATCCCCTTCCTGTACCCTCGCCATCGGAGGAAAATTCCAAAAGCAATGTGTTCCAACTGGAAACAATTTCTTCGGGGGGCTTCTTGCTGTTACAGAAACGTCCAATTAAACTAGACTTGTCATTTGTGTCTCCATCATAAACAGCTAGATAGTCTTTTTGACAGTTGTCACCACCAACGATGTCAAAGTCTTGAAAAGTAAGGTTGATGAAACGAGACGGTTGTGCTCTAATATTAAAAAAAGTGCATATTAGTTACATAAAAACGAACTTTAAACTTGAGAAATTAAACTGTGCACTTAGTAGTTATTTAATTTCGAAAATCCATAACCAACATTCGCAGAAATAAAACTCTCATTTTTGACAGCTTAGAAATTTTTGAGTTGAATTACGTTATTTTTGACAGTCATTTTTTCAGGAAATCCAGTAGATTATGGCAAAATATAAATTCGCGAATACTTGTCGAAACCGTATTATTTAAATTTTACGGCAAGGTACCTGGATCAATTACTCTAGATTATTGCTCAAAATATAGCATATTATCTCCCCATTTACTATACATTTAAAAATGATTTCTTCTCCAAAATGATCTAGTTAAAATCCGATCGCACTGTAAGATGGTATGCTTTTTAGTTGTTGTTGTTTCTTTTGACTACTTGCCATGCCATCAAGCTTACTTTGGAAACCAAGCGAATTTAAAACAGTGGGTACATTTCTGGTTTTTCAGTGGCATCATATATGGCCAAGAATACCACTGCAACAACACACACGTCAAAATCCGTTTTACTGGGTGCACCCTACATACATCCGGAACGATCAATCTCCAATTCAGTACCAACAGAGGTATAATTTGTTGTGGAGGCTTATAGGACTTTGCTATCCCATCAGATTTAGCGTGTACACTCATCATTTAATACACGGGTTTTTTTCGGCCGGTGGGATTCGAAATCCCGTTCTCAGGAACAAGAGTCCAACGTCCTAAATTACCGGGCTATCTCGGCCAGACTCTTGATAATCTGCTTGCTTATCAAATAAGTTTCCCAAATTCAATTCTGGCGATGACTGAATAACTAGTTATCCACACTACTTTTTCGTTGCATTTTCCAATAAATTGTACTGATTTGTATGTTACATTAAGTATAACGCTTTTTAAAAAAATTTTATCCTGAAACAAAATTTCTATTCTTCAACAAAATTGCCGACCACAGAATTTCGCAGAAAACAGTTGCGTAAGAATAAGAACAATTCCGAAAGTTTCAGAATCTATTTTTGATTGTGTGAATCAAATCATTAAATGAATTTTATTTTTTTTTGTTGAATGCTTTTCAATAAAATCTAAATGAGGCAATGTTCTCCTTAATCGATCAAATTTCTTGAATAAGATAACTGCAATACTAGTACAAACTGCAAACAATGATGAAAAGAGAACAAACGCATAACAGAACACTCGCAAAACTGTAGTTTATTTTAAAATTTGTTTAGCGAAATTTACTTCGTAATAACGGATAGATATTTTAATCGTCTGACAAACTTAATAGTTAACTAGCCAACTTAAATAATTTTCAAAAAGATTGCTGTAAAGAAAATTTAAATGCCAATATTTTATAGACGTCCAGTTTAAAGTTTTATTGTTAATCATAAAAGTTTGATAACAGTTTTCGAATGCGAACTTGTTTCAAGCCGTGGGGCTCAGGGGATGGAGAGCTTGCCTCCCAATGACATAGGCTCGCCTACTAGCGGTAGACGGGTCATGGGCTGATGTACTCTTGCCGTCAAGCTAACTGTAGGGCATTTTCGTGGTTTTTCCTCTCCACATAACACAAATGAGGGTTAGTTTCATCAAAAGGGCCTCCACCATGTCAAATTTCTCCCAATACTTGATCCAAGAATTCTGTTGTCTTCTGAATTGGGTTTAAAATTGCAAGACTATGGAGTTGAGTACTGATGGTCTCAAACTTAAAATTGTGGCAGCTGTTCAACGACGGTTATTAAAAAAATACGAATGTGTCATAAAAACAGTAATTAAACATCACTCCTCAAGAAAAAAAAATTATTAAAGCAAACTATTAAATATTCCAATCATTCTTTAGTTATGTATAGCACTTTCGATGCAAATTATTGCGCCAATTTTTTGATTGAATATCAAATTCAAATCTAACTTGTTTTAAATTGTTGACCAAGCACAAAAAATACAAGCCTAAGAAAGTATTTATCAATCATTTGCTCAGTCAAATTGTTTCAAATTTAACTATGAAAGCATAATTCAGCATTTGCTAATTACAAAAAAAAATGCATTTGCATTCCTAACTCTTGCAATTTACAAACAGTAAAAAAATTTAACCCCAGCCACCACCAACAAGTAAATAGAACATTAATTTTACATTTTCTTGAAAGTTCTTACATTTTTGAAAGACAATCAAAATTATGAAACTTCCTCACCTGATTAACCACCTACAATTATGATTATTTTGATAATTCAAGGGATGTCCAAATGATAAAATTTTTCCACACACTGATTCACAAACATGGACATCAGAACACTGGAAATCTCCAACATCACATCCAGGGCAATCTAAAAATAAAACACTAACTTTTCAAAAACAAATGAATATCATGCTTGAAAACATATTAACACGTTTTTAAAAACTTATTTTAACAAAGTTTTAATTTGGTCAGCTAAAATACTAGTGATATCAAGAACGAAAATAATGTATCAAAGTTCATTTATAACAATCAATGTTCCTGTAATTTAATATTCATTTTATTTTGTAGCGTCAACATAGTATTCATTTTCATAACTCATAATTAATACGCATAGACTATAAATTAAAATGAAATAACTTTTTAGAACAAATTCTTTAGACATGCAAGAAAACAAAAGGTAGTGAAAAATAAAAAATAAATAAAAATAAAGAGATAAAAAGTAAATAGCTCATACAGCTAAATAGAGAACATTTTGATAATTTAAAGATCCTTTTGATTGAAAAAAATTTCTTAGGTATTGACTTTAACCTAAGTAGTGAAATAAAAACAAGTGCATATGAAGAATTAATTCTCGATGATTAATTTAGTTTTTGACTTTTTCAACTTGCAAATGGAAATTAATCAGCAGGCGTTATAAAAAAATTTAAAATTTACTTAAAAAATTTACGAAGCCGGTATTTAAAAAATTATATTATTGATTTACATTATTATCGATTAAAAAATCATATTATTGATTACATTATTGTGACTGAATAATTATTATTTACTCATAATTGCCTGACAGAAAAAAGATAACCATTTTCCTATATACAGTTCTAGCGTTTGAGCTTATAAATGATCTAAAAAAAATGGGTTAAAACTTTAACTAAAATGCAATGAAATTTTTCTGCAACCTTAGTAAGGTGTTAAAATGAAATTTCAACAACAGTATTGGGTAATAAAGCTTAAAAAGTATGCGTCATAAAGAAAAGTTTTTAAAAGTAGTTAAGGAGTACACTTTAGCACCACATTAAGGTTACAGATAATTTAAACTGTTAAATGGCTCAACCGCAGCAGGACGTTTCGATCACGCTGTTTTGGTCCCACCGTTTCGGCATCGATGCCGTCTCGGTCCTGTTAATGTCACTGACATCGCTATTTCATGTTTTCTTTACAGATATTGAAATTTCAAAAAATTACCAAATATATCAACCATCCTTTGTAATGATTCTCATTTCTATTTTATTACTGTACCGCAGTGGACTGCTCGTAAAGACACTGTTCCCAGTAGAAAACTGTCAATCATATATGGCTGCAGTCAGTAAGCGGGTGGTTGACCAATTTTATCACCTTACGTAGGGACCAACAGTGCGTGGTATCGGTCCTCGTTAAACAGTTCTACCATATAGTATTCGACTTCACGCACAGATCATCCGGCTATCGATGCAGGGGAATGATCCACTCTTCAGAGGATCAAAATTGCGATGGCATGTATTCGGATCATCCTCAGGAATGTTTTCCAGACCGTCACAATATCCCATGGTGAAGTTCTAGTACATAACTAAAGTACCTACCTATTTTAGTAATGCTGCTAACATTTAGCCTCTTTTTAAACATTTCCTTTTTTCCAAAGAAGGAATAATTTGGATAGAATTTTCGGATTTCGGCCTGGAGACAGAAATCTTTAATCAGGACGAAACCAAAACAGTAACGGGACCGAAATGAAAACGGAACCAAAGCGGAGGAACCGCAATGACGTGACGGAAATGTCATGGAACGTAGATTAGTAAATGGAAATTCTTAAAAATTTATTATTTCACTTTTATGTACAGTGAGCAAAAAATAAACGGACCACTCTGAATATGTTTTGATTTAATGATTGGATATTCTCGTTCAAGGACTCAATCTTAACAGTTTGAGGGTGTGACCTCAAATATGCAAATTAATTACTGCAGGCGATGCTTTAAGTTACAAAATTAGACACAAAAATATACTTTCTTACTTATATAAGTTACAAAATTAGACACAAAAATATACTTTCTCTTAATAAACATACCTTTCCCCCCCCACGAAATCACACCTCTGACCCCCAAAATATAAGGGCAGCTGCAATCTGGGAAATATGGTCCCCATAGTTTACTCAGGAGAATGGTCCTAAGTTTGGGCCCCTTAAAGTTACTTTTATTTTTTGCTTGATTCACTATATCTCAAGAACTTTTAAGGGTAATTGAAAAATGTTTGCTCACAATTATAAAATTCGTTTATCAAAAAAGTAATTCAACGCAAAATATGACTTTTAGTAAATATTTAATATTATTGGGAAAACTTTTGAGTTGTAAAGTATTAATTTTTACGTCATTTGATAAAATGTAATTTTAAATGGCAAAATACAAAGTTTAAGCGAATAGTTCGAATAGTTCCTGAGAAATCAAATTTTTAATGAGATACGACTTTTTCAAAATTTGATTACTCAGAAACTTCTCCGCCGATTTCGCTCAAATTTTGTATTTCGCCATTTAAAACTACATTCTTTAAAATTATTTAAAAATTGTATTAAATAAATATATGAATATATTTTACAATTCAGAATTCTTCGACAATAATTAAAAAAAATAATAAAAAAGGAAAAATATCTACTATAAGTTATATTCTGTATGGAATTATCTTTAGAAGATTGAATTTTATAATTGTGTGTAAAAAAAATTTCAGTTTACTTGAAAGTTCTAGAGATATGGTAAAATAGGCAAAAAGTTAAATTAACAAGTCCAACTTGGCCCACGCTTCTGACTAAACAATATCTCCCAGATTGCGGGTACCCCAAATATTCAGAAGGGTTAGAAATCCGTTGAAAAAAAGGTATGTTTATTTAGAGAAAGTTCGTTATTTCGTCTCAGTTTGCAACTTAAAATTTCTTCTGTACTGGTTAATTAGTCATCCCTTCGAACTTTTAAGATTGAGTCCTAGAACGTAAAGATTCGATCATTAGATCAAAAGTTATTCAGGATGGTCCGCTTTCTCATTTTGTGCATTGTACAACCTTATTAACTACATTATAATTTGAAAACTGCAAAGCTGCATGCTTACCAACTGATTTATAGTGTGCATAGAAACCTTTGTATCGACTCCTTGAATACCTGAAGCAACTTTGCAGATGGATCTTCATAGGTCCGTTAGAAATTATCCTCTTCGGAAAGAACTTACCGTCTGGTGATTTGATTGCGGTGTTATTCCCGTAGCCCGTGTAAACAATAAGTTCATCCTTGCAATTACCAGCCTTGAGAACGTCTTCTTGTTCACCCAGATCATAAACGATGAAATTCAGTTCGATATGTTTCCCAGGTTCTGGTTCTATTGTCCATGAACAGGATTTATCTTGTCCGTAATAATGCGGGTAGTTTGGAGACTTTACATACCCTTGCGGTGTCATCATAACAGTTCCGCATATTTCTATAAATTAAAATTTAAAACATAGTACTGAAAATGTTGCTGCTGATTTATCTTTAGAAAATGCATTTTAAATCATAAATGTTTTACATATATGTTACTTTTAATGACCTAAATCAAAAGAATGTCGTTCACCAGTGAATGTCAACATCACATAGTCGCTTAGGTGAATGTCCAAAATGTTTTTTATATTCGATTTGATATCAATTTACTCGTTGATGTTATTACATTTATTTGATATTTTAAGACCTGCTGAGGATGGATTAGGAGAAATATGTTTGGAGAAATGTGTTCGGAGTACCGGTTAAATGCATATTGGATAGTGGCTATTGTATACCGTACAGTGGCACTAAACCTTAAAAAAGCATTGATGTAGGTCATACTAGGCAGTGGCACTTAATTGGACCTAATATATATTTCGGACATTTACCAAAGCGACCATGTGATTGTCAACATTCACTGGTGGAAGTCAACAACCACCGATTTCGATCATTCACAGTAACATACATATTTATAAAATATTACCTTTTTCTCGACATCCTAATATTTCCATTCTCAAGCAAGGTTGCTCGTAATATTCCAGAATTTTTATTTTTACAAACCTAGTGGGAATTCCTTTCAAAAGATTAAACCTAATTTCTAGATCATTATTGTAAACTGGCGATTCACACTGGTCACATACGTAAACCTAGAAAAAGAGAAATGCTGTAGCTACTTAATACACAAATCAAAACAATAAATTTTGTTACGTTAAACAGAAACGATATTGAGGAAAGTATGATGGTATAGTCTACATCTTCTTTCTCACACTTTGATGAATGTATTTACATTTGTTAATTCACTTTGTTTCGAGAATATCTTGTAAAGTCGAGAGAGCTATAAGAGTTCTTGTAGAAAGAGCTAAAACATTATTATACGAAAGTGAATTGCCATTAACATTTTGGATTGGAGTCATAAATTGTAGTATCATTTTTAATCTCACATCACACAAACAAAAACTTCCGATTGAACTATGGGGAATATTTCCGTATCGTGATCAGAAACGCCAACTGCAATCGCCAAGGCACCAAATTGATTATGAGCCGAAAAACGGGTGGTTACGATAGTTATGCCTTTCGAGTTCGTCCCTTTCTGTAATTCTTTCTATCTTTCTTCCTTACATCCCTTTCCCGCGGGCGGCTGCCCGGAAGTTTCCAAGACTTGGTGATTATTCTGCCACAAACCACGATACGGAAATCTTTTGTCTACGAGACGTTTACCACTTTGAATAAACAATATGTTATTCAATGCTTTTAAACTATATGGATATTATAAACACTTCGTAGATTGATGCATCTATTCATTGGTAGATATTCAATTTGTACAAATCATTTTGCCAAACTGTTAATTTCTCCCTCATTTGTACAATGCGCAGAATAAAAAAAGGGACCACCCTAAAAACTTAAGATTTAAATCGGATCTTCACGTTCTAGGACTCAATTTTAAAGGGGGTAACATAAAATAAGTCCGAGCAGAAGATATTTTATATTACGAAATCAGACACAAAAACATGCTTTCTCTGAATAAACATATCTTTCTCAACGTATTCGGATTTTTAATGCCCAAAATATAGACGGTAGCCACAATCTTGGAAGTTAGGTCCCCCTAGTTTAGTCAGAAGAGCGGTAAGACAATTTCTTGCAAAGTATAACTTTTAGAAAATATTTATTAAATTTCATTATTTTATTCTATAATTGTCAATATAATTTTGAATTGTTAGGTATGCACTTTTTTAATCTATTTTAAAAAATATAGTTCTATATGGAAAACTACAAAATTTGAAGGAAATCGGTCGAATTGTTCCTGAGAAATCAATTTTTTTATTTTGTGCACTACATATTATCCTCCAAACTGTTTGAAATTTGATAACTTTTGGTTTTAACGTATTTTAGCTAAATCAATAAATGCCCTGTGCATAAATGTCCTTAAGCAAATAAGAATGCTGCAGCTTCTTATGACCTTCGCAGATTTGCTTTGGCTAATGTTAAAAATATTTGTTAAATAATATTCAAAAGATTTAGCACAGTGTTACAGTTATCAACTAACTTCACCTCTAATTCTATTTGAAATTTCATGAAATTCCCAGCGCAATTGCATTTTCCTGCAAGTCACAGAATAGCCAAGGGGAAAGAAAGAAGGTAAGCGATACGGTTAACATAAGACAAACACTATACAAAATCTCTTTAAACCTTCTAATTCCTGCAGAAACAGACAATATGCATGTACATACTATGAATGTTACGTTAAGTATTTTTATAATACTATTTCTCACTTACAATTTCAGAAACCAACATTCATTTGTTAGGAATGTTACGTAATTTTTTTTCTTCTTAAATATCTGTATATGAAGAAACGATAATAATAAAAAAAATTATTCTACATCCACCATCGTTTCATACTGCATGTTGGCATTTTGTGCAAAATAATGATATTTGAAGCACATTTCAGATATTTAAAGTGAGTATGTAAATTTAGAAAAAAAGGCATAAATAACAATTTTAGTATAAGATCAATGATTTGACAAATGTAAGATAACAGTTCCTGGTTCTTCTTACTTTTTGCTGTCCAACTGGTTCTTCTTCCCACATCCAACTGAGAGTGTCGTTACTAAAGTCCAAATGGAATTTCTTTACTATTGTCCGCTTGTGAGTATTACTTAATCCTTGAAGTACAATTCCAGTTACTATTGTCATGTTCTGAAGAAACACCTGAGAAATTGATTCAGACATAATCAATTTAATTAAAGCAATTAAAAATACCACGATAAAGCATTTTATTTGTGATATAATAGGTTGAAGTAGAAAAGAAAATCATTCGTACAACAGATCGTAGGGGGTCAGTTTGGTCATGGAAGTTAAAACTCAATAATTGAGTGACCGACTGCATGATTAGGGTAATGTAGTTAGCATAGCACACAAGCCACATTCACTTTAAAGACAACTTAGTAAACATCGATCTGAAGATCAGTGAGCTTTAAGCCACCACTGGGGATCAGATACTCTTTAAAAATATGATAATTACGATAATAGTAATTTCGATGGTATTATACTGTCTTCGAAATAATAATAATATGATAATAATCATTTTGATGATATTGTACTGCCTTAGAAAGTATGATAAATAACATGGTAATCATTTTAATGGTTTTATACTGCCTATGAAATTATGATAAGTACGATCATAATCCTTTTGATAGTTGATGGTATTATACTGCCTTCAAAAGTATGCTAATTATGATAATAATCATTTTGATGGTAGTATACTGACTTCAAAGGTATGATAATTACGATAATAATCATTTTGAAGGTATTATACAGTCTTTGAAATAATAATAATAATATGATAATAATCATTTTGATGGTGTTGTACTGCCTTCGAAAATATGATAATTATGATAATAATCATTTTGATGGTGTTATACTACCTTCGAAATTCTGATAATTACAGTCATAATCCTTTTGATGGTTGATGGTATTATACTGTCTTCAAAGGTAAGATAATTACACGAATAATCATTTTGACGGAATTATACTGTCTTCGAAATTATAATAATTACAATAATAATCATTTAGATTGTATTATACTGCCCTCGAAACTATGATAATTACTATAATAACCACTTTGAAGGTAATGTACTAAATTCAAAAGTATGACAATTACAATAGGAATAATTTTGATGGCATTATACAGTCTTCAAAATATTACAATTATGATAATATTAATTATGGTATTACGCTAGGATATAAATAAAAAAGGCGTGATAAATACAGTAATCATGGGGTGGGAATTTTTATAATTTTAAATAGAGCTATTGAAAATTAAAAAAGGTAAAATGTCTAACTAATTTTTGCTGTGTGCATTTTAACAACTTTTTTACTGTATTTTGGTAGCTATATTTATGTCTCAAGAAAGCATAGTAATTGACGAAAAATTAAATTAAAAGAAAAAATGTATGAAATATATTAAAAAATAAATACTAAAAAATAATACAGAAAAGATAGACAGCATTCCTGTACTGTAAGCAAGTACCATCCTCAACTTCAGAACATTTGATGATACTTGTTTTTGCGTGATTTAGCATTTCCATATTAAATAGTTTGTGCGTTATCCTGTTATTTCTTAATTCAATCTAAAGCTTAAAGTATGGCACCGTTTGTAAAAATATTCAAAAAATCTGCATGTTTAAAATAAATCAAATTTTATTCATCTACCGTTAGGAAGTACATCTACAAAATATTTCAGTTTCAAACAATAAGCCTCGGATACTATGTTCTTTCGTTAGAAGGGACTAAAGATGCTGAAGAGACTTATTTATTTGAATATATTCATACAAAATACGTAATAAATATTCATACAAAACACGCAGACATTTTACAATTTTTTACAAAAGGTACCATACTTTAAGCTTTAGCGCAAATTAAGAAATAACAGGATAACTCAGAAACTATTTAATATACCGTTGCTAAATCATACAAAAACAGGTATCACAGAATGTTCTGGAGTTGAGGACTGTACTTGCTTAGAGTACGAGAATGCTATCAATTTTTTCTGTATTATTTTTATAATATTTGTTTTTCACTACTTCATAAGTACAGAAAAATAGATAATATTCTGTATTCTTCCTGTTCGTATTTCTGTTTTGTTATTATTCTGTATTTCTTCCTGTTTTTTTTTAATTTAATGATATGTCTGTTAGTATATTTTAGTGACTTCAGTACTGTTATAAAAATATATGTAAATAGTTAGTAAACAAAAATTAATTACATATTTTATATTTTTAATTTTTAACAGTCCTATTTATGATTATAAAAACACACACCCATGCATACAGTACTTATCACTCCCTATTTATCTTTATCACAGTGTAATACCATCATAATTAATATTATAAAATCAGTCAGATGCGGTATTGTTACTAAAGAGATTGTAACTTTAACTTCAAGAAGTGAGAAAAAGACTATGTTAATAAAAATCAATCTTACTGTAAGGTTTTTTGACTTGTCATTAAGTTTAGCACACCATCCATTGTTGGAATTAAGTCTCGCATTTGTATGGTGATATTTCTCTCCATCATCGTCAGATGTCGCGCTTAGCTGGGAATCGAATATTTCTTCAGAAGCCATCCCTAAAGGTTGCCCACAAGATTCTAAAATATATAAATACATATAAATAATATTCCTTACTTTCCAGCACATCCTACCTGCAAAAATAAATTAATAACCTAAACTCTTAATTCGAAAAATATTCTTTACTACTTGCACCTACAGTCATCATCCCGGCAAGAACTGACCCCGCCACTAAGTCTGAGGCCGTCTACTGCTATGGAAACAAGAATAGCGCATTTCAGGGAGGGTAGCTTCTCTTCACTTACTCTAGGGCTAACACTAACCCCACACCCCTACTTGAAATGTTTATACCTCGTTACTCTAGTCACCGCCACGGGTCCAAACGAATGACTTGGGAAGTTCTTCCTTTAGACAAACTGTAGATAAAAAGAGTCGTAAGAGCGACCCCCGCTGTTTAGGGTTTTAACTTTTACGTTACGTTTTGCTACAGAAAATTTAGAAGCAAAACTATTACTTTTGTAATAATATTTTTATTTTTCATCGAAATTTTAACATCGCAATAAAATTTTAATTTTGTAATAAAATTCAAAATTATGCATAAAAACTTACATTCTTAATAATTGTTTTGTAATTTAAATTTTTTTTTTCAAATTTTCAAATTTCTTTAAGCCTTTAATTTTGTAAAGAAATTTAAAGTTCGAAAGAAATTTTATATTTACTAATAGTTGACATGCCGATGCAATACGATACCTCTTTATTTTCGTAAGCTTGCTAAATGTTCAGATTTTTAAAAAAAAAATTATCAAAAATACACAAAACTTATATTACTAACCTGTTCCAAAGACCTTCATCTCACAAAAGTTTAAACTGTCAAATCTGTTGTACACTTGCAATGTAACATATTGTCCATAAATAGGTTGAGAACAATTCACTTTCCACACATCAAACTCATGGTTTGTAACAGGATAAATAGCGCATGTATAAGCATTCAGGAATTTGCCAACTTCTGTGTGTGGAATACCATAAGAAAGGTCATCATAGTAACGGCTGTAGGTTTCAACTAGTCCAGTTTCATCAATTAGCACACGAAAGCCTCTCAAGCTCTGAGCTAAATGTTGAAAAAAAATTTATAATTTCAAAAAAGAAGACGGCAATCATGTTTTATAAGCTTTTATATTACAGAGGAAAAATATAATTTTAATAATCAATAACTAATTTCGAGAAATTACTAATCCATAACTAATTCTGAGAAAATAGTACTATCTTCTCTCAAGGAAACAATTTTTTCTCTTCGTTTGAGTAAATAAATTTTTATAATTTATTTTTTCTAGTGTAAGATTTTAAAAACATTTAAATTGATAAATCAAGGTGTTGAAAATTGTTTTCGACCTGTTAAAAAAAATTGTTGTTGTTTTTCAAAACAACCAATTGACTAAACAACCTATTTTAAGTTAGTTTCAAATTTGATTCATTATCAACTGAAACTTTAAACATTTTTCTCGTTTGGGATTTTCTCGTTTTTAATTATTCCACGCGGAGAAAAGAATTCTGGTAAAATAACCTTACTGTATAGTAATGGCATTTCTGGTAAAAAGAAAAAAAGGCATATTCCTGGTAATCGAAACTAAATCATACCATATTTAAATCATTCATTTAGTAATTTTTTCGTTTATATGGTAACGGTCTACCGGAAATTCTGGTTCTCAAAGTTACAGTTTTTATTACCACACATTTAGTAAAATATACAAAAGTGAAAGGGAAATTTAACCGAATAAATGGTTTGTATGCCATGTTTCTAAGGTACCATGATTAAACTAACAAATTTTACCACATCTACCAAAGTTTATTACGTATTATAAAGCCATATTTTATTGTTAGTTTTACCAAAATTAATATCAAAGTGCTTTGGGAAAAATTATCGAGATCTTTGGCGTTCCCGTATAGCTAAAAGGACGATAAATTTTCCCATATTTTGGTAGTTTAGATCACATTTTTTTTTCTCAGTTTATTTTGCATTATCCTTCATCAAATAATAAGTAATTCTCAAAATAATAACAACAAGAGATATTTTTTAAATATAAAAATTTTCAGTTAATTGAGCTTATTTTTAACTGATTAGTCAAATAGCTAATGCGCTAATGGTTTGACAATCGAGCTCTTATTTCACGGCTATTCAAACAAATACAATACAATACAGTACCTACAGTGCAGTACAGTACAGTACTGTACTGTAGTGTACTGTACTGTAGTGTACTGTACTGTAGTGCACTGTACTGTAGTGTAGTGTACTGTACTGTACTGCACTGTATTGTATTGTACTGTACTGTACTGTACTGTACTGTACTGTACTGTACTGTATTGTTATTGTTATTGTATTGTATTGTATTGTATTGTATTGTATTGTATTGTATTGTATTGTATTGTAAATATTTGATGAACCTTTAAGAATTAGTATATCACTTTGTTCTAAAAGCAATGCCATCTATAAATAAATACCATGCAAAAAATGAATACTTAAATTAAAATCTACTCACAAATATCATAGTAGCAATATGACAAAGCTAGTCCCTTCTCATATCCGCTGCTATCAATACTTGGGTATCGTCCTCCATGTTTTGGTTTTCCCATAACTTTTTCTTCATTATTCCAGGGCATAAGTGGTTGAACGTCTTCATTGAAATGGAAATAATGCTCCATTTCAGACATTCCTTTCACTTTTTGGCAGGTTTTTCCATACTTAAATAGGTAGAAGGGAGCATCGTTCGGTAAATAAATCGCGTTATCTGCACTACGGTCCTTCCTGCAACAGAAGTAAATAGTCGTTGTCTGCGAAGTGTAATTGCCAGTTGGGACGAAACCATTTATTGAGCTATCAGACAACGGATTGTGGCTGTCTGTCCAAGTGATGTATCCACTTTCAAACTTCAGTGGACATCTGTCCCCGTACTGAAAAATGCAATATTCTCCAGCTGGCCATTCCTTCACCGAGCTTGTGTACGTTGAATATCTTGTCTTCATACAAAAATGCTGTATTACACCACTTCTTTCTACAATTCCCCCGATAGTCTTCATTTGCAAACCACCTAAATTTAAAGTAATTGTTTAATTTTTTGCAAGTCAACTTAAATAAAAGATAATTACCAAGCAATTCTGTAAAAAAAGTTAATATATTATTTTGCTATCAAAATTGGTATTAATATGAACTTGTTAAGCTAGATTAATAATATCCTAATTTTCAAGCAAACACAATTCACAAATTAAAGAAAATAATTGAAATATACTATACAAAAAACGATTTTAAATATATAATAAATAACATTAAAATAACTTCTTACTAATTTAATAATAGTGCAATTTATACACATTTATACAAGATGGTTGAGTAGCTAAAATACATTAATAAATATTGTACGATGTTGAGTTTTATGAATGGTCATGTATCTTTCTCAATTATGCAGGATGATCTGTAAAGAACTCAATACCCAGATAGCATTGTAAGGTTGATTTTAATGCTAGTCACAACCTTTAGCACAAAGCCAAACGAGGTTTATAAATTTCAAGTAAACAAAGCATGCAAGCTTAAAACAATGTTAAATCTAACTATGTTAGTTTACGAGTTATTAGGTTTGCATTAAGCTTGCATAAACAACCCTTTTATATCGAGATTGAATTTTCTTTTACAGAGCAAAGCTAGAAAAACATTCTGAAATCGAGAATAAATTATCATTCGTAAATCAAGAGAAAAAGCATTCTCAAACCGAGAATAAATTCGCCTTTTCAAGTTTTATTTTAGATTTTAAGACTATCTCGGAAACTAGGTTTCTTGGAGTAGGCTTTTATGCACTTTCTTTAATACTTTAAAAAATAAAAGTTGGCCTAATCATTAAGTTTTCAACACAAACAAAATGTTGAGCTTAAGCTTCCAAGAGCCTGCACAAAGCTAGAATGGAAAAAAGGCAAAAACAAGGATTGCAGTGAAATCTAAAAAAATTAGAATTTTTGTAGTATTTTGCATGCTTTTATTAAATCTTTAAGGAAACAAGCTTGGCATACCAATATATTTACTAAGTTTGAAAAAGGATTATTTAGTTAACCTTTCTCTGATAACCAAATAAAAATTAAAATGCAGTGTTTGCCGTAAGGTTGGATTTGTAGTAGCTGGGATTATGATTTATTTTAGACTACCTTAACAAAAGTGAAATAAAAAAAGGTATATACGTTTGTACCAAAATTAAATATTTCGTGAAAAAAACGGTGTTAAAATCATACGAAACATTGTTGTTGCATCTTTTTTCTCGTTTGTATATAAATTTGCAACTCCTAATGTGTAAAATTTTTTAAATCATTCTGAAAAAGATTTTAGAAATATATATTAGGTTTAGTCATTACAGAACACCCTGCATGAAATGCCAAAACACAATTGGAAAAAATATTTTCGAAAATATATTGTAGAATGTTTACAAAATATCAAAAATTTAATTAAATCATTAAAATAACAGCTAAAAATATATCAATCATTTTGAATTATTTAAAACTTTTTTGAAAAAAATTGAATTGCTTTTACAAAATGCAGATCAGCAAACCTTTTAGAAGAATACCCGGAGACCAGTGATTAATTTTGCTATCCTGCACTACATCATATTGCATGTCTTGATATCTAAACCCTGCGTGCCATAAAAAACCTTTACTGGATGGGCATCCAGATACCGGCATTGGTAAGCCATATTGTCCATCTGGCCATGTCAGTTTTCTTTCTAGGATCTGTCGTAAAAGTGAAGAATAATCAAAAATTCAATTTATAACTGGAATGGAAAATAAGAAATAAATAAGATTGATAAGTTCTACCGATTGTTTCTGATTTAGTGGTAAATAATATTTTTTTTATCAATTTATGTGTAATTTACGAAAAATGTCGAAGTGAAATAGTTGAATTTCAGCTAAGCAACGCTCCAACATATTTCTGAAAATGATTGCAAGGTCTAATGTAATTTTTGACTGCACCGAATTGAAACAATATAAGACGCAGCTTCGTTTCTTGAAAATACTGAAAAATCTCAGTGTTTAAAAGAAAAACTACCTCAATGGAAAATTATAGTTCATTTACCGGTTGTTCCACAAATAAACAAAATTCTGAAAAATCAATTAAAGAAAAATGGAGAAAAAAATTGCAATTTGCTGCATTCTACTAAGGAAAGAAAAACATTTTTCACCAAATTTTGAAACTAGTTTCAAAGTTACATGACCGATGGCACAGATAACAGAGGAAAAGTATAAACAATATATTCGAATTTACTACCAAATAAAATAACTACCTGACTCAGTTTGAAGCAAAACTAGCAGTCGTAAAAGCATATATTTAAGTTGAAATGATTTTGCCTGCATTTTTGCAATAATTTCTTGCAACATTGTTTGCTGCTGAAGCAGCAAAGCAGCAAAAGCATCAGCAGCAAAAGCATTAGCAGCTAAGCAAAACAGGAAAGCTTCAGCATAAGCAGCAAAACGGCAGTGAATAAACAGTATCGGAGTTTTGAAAAATCAAGGCAAACAAACGCCATAATCTCACATGAATCCATGGCAATTGTTGAAGAAACAATTAGAGGTAAATAGAAAAACTACTACTCACGGCTGAACATCACTTGGTCGAACATTAGTAAGGGAATGATTACTATCAATTTCTGCCACTAAAGTCGTATTACTTTGCGTTGTTCTATTTTACCAAAGCATTTTTATTCTATTATATTTAATATTCGAATGAAAACTTTGAACTAATATACATAAATAAGTGATAAATAGTTTCAGAAAATTGTATCAGCAACTGAATCAAAAATAGGTTATCTACAGCAAATACCTAACAGACATTACCTCCAGTGGGACTCTTTGATAGTGAGAAGTCATTTTAGTGGTCCATGGATTCATCTGTTGCGTAATTACATGACTAATTGCGAGATTATTTAGAATTTGAGCTACTTTATTGGTACTATTTACACCATTTAAATAAAAATTTGAGTTTGTAATTGAAAAGTGCAAAAAATAAATTGATTACACTAGAAAACAATTTTTGTTGCATTTATATAAATACTTGATCTTGCCTAATTCGTATGTGGAGATTTCAAATTTGGAATCAGTTTTGCTACTAAAACTAAATTTTTTTTAAAGTGAAACTTTTTGTCTAATTTTCGACATAATGTACAAGTGTAGGCACGTTGCATATAACAGGGGGTTGAGTAAATATTGCGACAGATTTCTAGGGGACTTAGGGCACATTATAAGGATTAAAACTGTGTAGGAACGAACTCATACCCGGAAAAGTCGTCTTACGCCACTACGAGTGTGACATTAAGTCACAGCCTAATTTTTTAAATATCCTGTTTTTTTAATCAAAATCCTTATTTTTCGGCTTAATTTATAATTTTATGATACAATTTTTTATTTCTTCATCTTTTTCTTCTCGCCCCTTAACGCGTTAGCGCAATGAGGACATTTTCCCCAGGAAGTTCCTTGCACATTCCTCAGACACTCCTTTTCTTGGAAAAAGCTGTCGGCGTCGTTTGATGTAGCACGAGAATTTGAAGTCGACTGAAACTTAGCTTTGCAACGTCAATCAGAAGGTGAGAATAACACTTAAAAATAATATTGATAATACATCTCAACTTAAAATTTTACTTCTTTAATTCATACTTTCAGTACCTTGAGTACTCAACTCGGTTTTTTTTCCTTTTTGCTATAAAAGCCAGAGCGCGAAAAACGCTCGTGGCATTCGAATCTTCCATCCCCCCAACGATATACTTACTCCCTCGCGGAGCTTTTTTTNATCAGCACTACGGTCCTTCCTGCAACAGAAGTAAATAGTCGTTGTCTGCGAAGTGTAATTGCCAGTTGGGACGAAACCATTTATTGAGCTATCAGACAACGGATTGTGGCTGTCTGTCCAAGTGATGTATCCACTTTCAAACTTCAGTGGACATCTGTCCCCGTACTGAAAAATGCAATATTCTCCAGCTGGCCATTCCTTCACCGAGCTTGTGTAAGTTGAATATCTTGTCTTCATGCAAAAATGCTGTATTACACCACTTCTTTCTACAATTCCCCCGATAGTCTTCATTTGCAAACCACCTAAATTTAAAGTAATTGTTTAATTTTTTACAAGTCAACTTAAATAAAAGATAATTACCAAGCAATTCTGTAAAAAAAATTATTTTATTATTTTGCTATCAAAATTGGTATTAATATGAACTTGTTAAACTAGATTAATAATATCCTAATTTTAAAGCAAACACAATTCACAAATTAAAGAAAATAATTGAAATATACTATACAAAAAACGATTTTAAATATATAATAAATAACATTAAAATAACTTCTTACTAATTTAATAATAGTGCAATTTATACACATTTATACAAGATGGTTGAGTAGCTAAAATACATTAATAAATATTGTACGATGTTGAGTTTTATGAATGGTCATGTATCTTTCTCAATTATGCAGGATGATCTGTAAAGAACTCAATACCCAGATAGCATTGTAAGGTTGATTTTAATGCTAGTCACAACCTTTAGCACAAAGCCAAACGAGGTTTATAAATTTCAAGTAAACAAAGCATGCAAGCTTAAAACAATGTTAAATCTAACTATGTTAGTTTACGAGTTATTAGGTTTGCATTAAGCTTGCATAAACAACCCTTTTATATCGAGATTGAATTTTCTTTTACAGAACAAAGCTAGAAAAACATTCTGAAATCGTGGATGAATTATCATTCGTAAATCAAGAGAAAAAGCATTCTCAAACCGAGAATAAATTCGATTTTTCAAGGTTTATTTTAGATTTTAAGACTATCTCTGAAGCTAGGTTTCTTGGTGTAGGCTTTTCTACACTTTCTTTAATACTTAAAATATGAAGGTTGGCCAGATCATTAAGTTTTAAACACAAGCAAAATGTTGAGCTTAAGCTTCCAAGAGTCTGAAAATGCTAGAATGTAAAAAAAGGCAAAAACAAGGATTGCAGTGAAAGTTTAAAATTAGAATTTTTGTACTGTTTTGCATGCTTTTATTCAATCTTTAAGGAAATAAGTTTGGCATACTAATATTTTTACTAAGTTTGAAAAGGAATTAATTAGTTAACATTTCTATGATTACCAAATAAAAATTTAAATACAACGGTAAGGTTGGGTTTGTCATATCTGGGATTATGAACTATTTTACAATTCTTGATAAAAATGAAATAAAAACAGGTATATACATTTGTATCGAAATTAAGTATTTTGAGGAAAGAAACGGTGTTAAAATCATACGAAACATTGCTGATGGAAGCAAAAACAGACGCCTGCCAAAACTTAGTATTATTAGCAATCTGTTGCTTGATTTCTCTTTACCTTCTCTGACAATCAAACAGATTAAAAATGTTTAATCCAGCTTTCTACAGTATCAGAACGTTAAATTTCGATAGCGCTTTTGATTTTTCTTTCTCCCTTGAATATTAATTTGGGAAACTCCTACAATTTTTTAAGTCATTCAGACAAAAGTTTTAGAAATATTATTAGGTTTAGACATTACAGAACACCCTGCATGAAATACCAAAACACAATTAGAAGAAATATTTTCGATAGTAGAATGTTTACAAAATATAGATAGTAGAACGCAGTATGTATAGTAGACGACAGTAAAATGCTTACAAAATACCTAGAATTTTTTTAAATCATTAAAATAACAGCTGAAAATTCATCAGTCATTTTGAATTATCCGAAATTTTTTTTTTTGAAAAAAATTGAATTGTTTTAACAAAATGCAGTTCAGCAAACCTTTTAGAAGAATACCCGGAGACCAGTGATTAATTTTGCTATCTTGCACTACATCATATTGCATGTCTTGATATCTAAATCCTGCGTGCCATAGAAAACCTTTACTGGAAGGGCATCCAGATACCGGCATTGGTAAGCCATATTGTCCATCGGGCCATGTCAGTTTTCTTTCTAGGATCTGTTGTAAAAATGAAGAATAAGCAAAAATTCAATTCATAACTATAATGGAAAATAAGAATTGATGGATAAAAATAAGAATTGATTGAAAATAAGAATTGATAAGATTGATAAGTTCCACAGATTGTTTCTGATTTAGTGGCAAATAATATTTCTCTTTTCAAATTTTTTTCGTAATTTACGAAAAATGCCGAAGTTAAATAGTTCAATTTCAGCTAAGCAACGCTCCAACATACTTCTTAAAATGGTTGCAAGGTCTAATGTAATTTTTGACTGCACCGAATTGAAATAATAAAAGACGCAGCTTCGTTTCTTAAAAATACTGAAAAATCTCAGTGTTTAAAGAAAAATTAGCTCAATGGAGAATTCTAATTCATCTACCGGTTGTTTAACAAATGAACAATACGCATAAAAATTCAATTAATGAAAATTGGAGAAAAAAAATTATAATTTACTACATTCTACTAAGGCAAGAAAGAAAAATTTCACCAAGTTTTAAAACTAGTTACAAAGTTACTTGACTGACGACACAGATAACTGAGAAAAAGTATAAAAGAATACATTCGAATTTACTATCAAGTAAAATAACTTCCCGACTCAGTCTGAAGCAAAACTAGCAGACGTAAAAGCATATATTTAGTTTGAAATGATTTTGTCTGCATTATTGCAAAGTTTTTTTGCAACATTGTTTGCTGATTAAACAGCAAAGCAGCAAAAGCTTCAGCAGCAAAGTGAAACTGCAAAACTGCAGCATAAGCAACAGAATATTTGCTGCTTATGCTGAATACTGTCTTGAAAAAACGGCCGTGAATAAACAGTATCGGATTTCTGAAAAAACAAGGCAAACAAGCGCCATAATCTTACATGAATCCATTGCTATTGTTGAAGAAACAATTGGAGGTAAAAAGAAAAACTACTACTCACGACTGAACATCACTTTGTCGAACATGAGTAAGGGAATGATTACAATCATTTTCTGCCACTAAAGTCGTACTACCTAACGTTGTTCTATTTTTACAGCATCCTAATCGAGTTTACATTCACATTAAATGTTCACATGCAAATTGGATAATTAGTTATACACAGTGTGTGATGATCTCATCTCACCTTCTTTTATAACTCTGAAAGGTGACGCTTCATGTCCTACTGCATTTCTAACTCAAACAAAACCCTTAGCGTAGAGTTACTGAAGCATTTTTAATCTATTATATTTAATATTCCAACGAAAACAACTAACACATAAATAAGTGATAATTAGTTTCAGAACATTGTATCAGCAACTGAGTCAAAAATAGGTTAGCTTCAGCAGATACCTAACAGACATTACCTCCAGTGGGACACTTTGTTAGTAAGAAGTCATTTCGATGATCAATGGATTCATCTGTTGCATAATTACATGACTAATTGCGAGATTATTTATAATTTTAACTACTTTATCGGTTCCATTTACATCACTTGAATAAATATTTGAGTTTATAAGTGGAAAGTACAAATAATAAATTGATTACACTAGGAAACAATTTTTGTGGCATTCGTATAAATACTTGATCTCGCCTAATTCGTATGTGGGGATTTCAAATATGAAATCAGTTTTGCTCCCAAAGTTACATTTTTTTTTTGCATGAAACTTTTAGTCTAATTTTTGTCATGATGTACAAGTGTAGACACGTTGTGCATAACAGGGTGTCACGTAAATATTGCGACAGATTTCTAGGGGACTTAGGGCACATTATAAGGATTAAAACTGTGTAGGAACGAACTCATACCGGGAAAAGTCACCTTACGCCACAGCGAGAGCTTCCCAATTATGAACTCTCTCTTCGTGTGCTTCTGAACATGAAAAATAGGGAGGCGCATGACATTTCCAGGCTTGGGTTCTTATGCAGTTTTTACCTGCAGCTCCTATGCAGTTTTATGTTGAGTCCCAACTCCCCTAGAAGTTTGTTGTAATATTTATACAGCCCCATATTATGTATATCGTTTTCAAACATGTATAAGCCTATTTCGATAAGGAAAAAGGCTTAAAATATCATTTTAAAAAACTACAACTTAAAGGGTAAAGTCGATTACAGATTTGAAATCAGTGACGTGAAAATATCCAAGATCCGTTAGAAACCGAATGCAGCAGGAGACAAACAATTTCCTCCCAAATGTTATTTTTAAACAAACAATCCTCGCTTAAACATCATTTTGCCTTTCCTAATGCACGTACTTTTTTTGCTGATTTTTGGAAAAAGGTTCTAAAATTCACACAATGAAGACCATCATTGCGAAATATATTATGGAATTTAAAAAGAAAGATAATTTACCTGAGATCCAGATTTTGCACTGTACAGCTCTATCCCGTGGATAAGATAACGCTTCTGTAAATTTAATTGCCACCATGGATCTCTTTCAATTTCTGTCGCTACGCACAAAGAACGATTTTCCGTATCAACATTACTATCAATTCCATAAATTGCATGCCTTCCATCTTTTGTACTGGATTGTTTAGCAGGTCTTCCTTCAGCGACATTTGATAGATCATATTTTCCTATAACAAATAGTTTATCTTGGAAATTATTCCTTAAAAAATTTACATTTTCCTGCAGTTTAAATATAATTACTCCTTTCGATTATACGATACACTGAATGTACAGGAGGAAGCAAGGAATATAAAATACACACAATAGCATTTAAAATCATTTGTTTGAAAGTTAGTTAGTAATATGCAACTGAACTATTTTAATAAACTTTAAATTTTGAACCAGTCAATTTTTATTTTTTTTTTCATTTTATTTTTTTAAAACTTTAAATTTTCCTGCAGTTTAAAAATCTTTACTCATTTCTCGATCTCAAGGATACACTGAGATCCATGGTGGTTTAGAGGATAGATCGTTCACCTTCCAATGAGGTGAGCCGGGTTCGAACCTCAGCGATGGCTGGTAAATACGAATTTCGCCCCCGACTCCCACCGACGACTGTGCTAACGTAAAATATCATCAGTGGTAGACGGATCGTGCGCTAGAGTCCCCTTGCAGTCAGGCTAATTTTGAAGATTTTCGACGTTTTCCTCACCATGTAACTCAAATGCGGGTTAGTTCCATCAAAAGGTCCTCCATGAAGGCAACTTTCTCCCAATACTTGAGTTCTGGATTAAGTTCGAAATTACAAGGCTATAGAGTTGAACATTAGTAGTCATAAACCCAAAAATTGGGTCAGGTGTTCAATGACGTTTATAAAATAAAATAAAATATGATACACTGAGCGTAAAGAAGGAAGCAAGGAATATAAAATAAGCACACCAGTATTGAAAATAATTTTTTTTGAAATTCATTTAGTAATATGCAACTGAATTTTTTAAATTATTTAACCAACTACTTAATCTATACCTTTTATGCAATAATTTATTTTAAAAAATTTTCTAAAGCTGGTTTTTGAGCTTAAATAGACCAATACGTTTGTCACCAAGAAGGCAGGCGATCTGATGGATCTAAACTAGCAGATCCTCAAATGATTAAATTAAAAATGTGATTTAGTGCAATTAGAAAATAGAAAAACTTATTATTTTATTGAACGACATTTTTAAGCACGTCCAAAACAAATGTGCAACCTCTTCAAACGAAAGGGCATTGTTAAAATAAGTTTCTAATTAAATGCATTTCGCTTTTAGAAATTTTTCTCATATGTATACTAAGGGCTGATTTCCGGAATCATCTAATGTAAATAGGTCAAAAACATTTACTTATCTCGTATTTACATATTTAATTATAGTTTACTTATTTATCAACTTGTTTATTAATTATTTAATTATAATTTTTTATTCGTTTATTTATTTATTCAAAGGAGATTATAGTTAACATTAAGAAAAGATTATAGTTATAATTTTGAAATGATCAGATCATTATATCATCACTTTTGATCATAAAATTCTATAAATAAAACTTACTCAAAGCTTTAGAAGTGAACATCTAGATACAACTTTTTTTAAGTTAATTTACACGATATCTAACTAAATCCCTAGGTATGGAAGTTAAAATAAAATAATCATTATATTTTGAAAGTAGAGTATATTTAATATCAATGTTAGCATTTTATTCGATCTCGTTGTACTGCTTAGTTTTTCCTAAATTAGAACTATGAATGCTGATATTATAGAATAATTTTAGGAATATTAGAATTTTATAATGAAGATATTAAATTTTAAAGCAATTTTATTAAAATGAGAATCTTTGCAATTAGGCTTATTGCATAATTTCAGATTTCTTGTTGTACCAAAATTTTAAAAGAGTATGTTTAGAATACATAATTAATCTATAAGTTTAACTTGATACGTATAGGTATTCTATAACTTAGTGTACGAGTCTAAGATGAAGGATGTGAGATATAATGATTATTGTTAAAAAAAATCTTCATGCATTTTTTAGAATATCATAAATACATATTCTCCTATTTTATTTTTTAATACTAGCATGTTAGGTTATGCGTGTTAATTATTTAAACTTTTTATACATTCTTGTTCATATTTTTGTTTTCAAACAGGCATTGTTTTATAACATTTTTTTTTCTTTTTTGTTTCAAGCGAAAATAATCAATTGGGTCATTCTAAACTGTAAAAAATTCGGAAATCAAATTACGGTATAAAGTACCTGCACTTTGGCTAATCCATTAAATCCATTTCACCATAAAATCCATCTTCATCGCAAAATCTTGTACCTTAATTTTCACAGTAATGTTTATTTAATTAGAGTGATTCAATGATTTTACAGTAATTATTTCTGTAAAAATTACGATATATTAGATTTTTTATTCCGTAACATGTTCAGGAAAAAAAGAATTTTACGGTAAAAAGTACGGGTAACCTGAGTTCCGGTATTTTTTTCTATAATTTTATACGGAATTTTTACAGAGTATAAACAGCGAAGGAAAACTCGTTATCAACAAGCGGTTCTTTTTAAAAAAATCTTAAAAATAGAACAATATTCGTTTAGCCGTTTGCTTAAAAAAATTCATTTAACATGAGAAACTATAACGCAAAAAAATGTTAAAAAAATTTTAATTCTTTAACATGCGTATACATACTTAAATCCTTCATTGGATGTTGTGGCACTCCTCGATAAACAGCGTAAAATCCTCTACCATTTCCGACTTTCCTCCATCTTGTAGCAAAGACTAAGGTCATTATGTTCGAAGTAGAATATACTATACCCTCTCGATTCAAATTGCAAAACCCTCCGATCAAATTTTGAAATTTTACTCCTTCTCCGTTATAAATCCACAACACACCACTTTCTGGAGTGCAATTCCTTGATCCCGGAATTCCAGGAATGTCAAAATCCCTGAACTCTAGTTCCACTACATAGTGCTGCAGAACTCTTAATATCCATGTGTGATTATATTCACTGTATACATCAGACGAGAAGTAGTAATTAGGTGGAAAAGGATACCTAAAAAGTTTGCAAGAATAATGCATAATGATTAATTAGGTTTTATAATAATGTCATTAAGAAAAATAATATGAAAGTGTTGACATTATTTCATTAGTTAACTACCAGCTATGTGTTAAAGCAAGATAATCAAACTTTTTAACTTCTTAAAAATACACGATACTTTGAAAATCAGAAAATTTCGTTAAACTCCACTAATGCGCACAAAGAAATTTGCGTAAGTGGTAATTGGTAATTTATGCATCTTAATAAATAATAATTTATGTATCAATTTTTATAGTCTATTTAGACGTATATCAACGTCTATATAGGACGTATATCAACGTCTATATAGGATGTATATCAACGTATTTTTTTCGATTCAGTTCTTGATTATAGAGGTCTACTTAGACAGGTCTTACCTTATAAAGGTGGTCATTTTAACAGGCAGTTATATTGTTATGGGCAACTTCCTATTTGGATTACCAAAAATTCAATTTCTCCAAAACTTTAATGAAATAGGAGGGAATGTATCATACTTGTTATAAATAATGGGAAATCGTAAAATGACCTTTTGCATTTTAAATAGAAAAGAAATGTATAAAAAATTAGAAATACATAGTTTGCACACTTTAGTCTTAGAAATTTCCAGAGAAATTTCTTTTCACCAAATTCACATGATTCATGTCTTTAAAATAGCGATCTTTATATAAATTGCGATCCGTATCTACATTATTTCAAAGCTCAAACTGTAATATTTTTACAAGCATTACATAGTTTCTGTCTTTTAAACTATTTTTAACTATTCTTAATTCTGTTTTAATTATATTAATTATTTAATTTTTATCCCATTTTATAAAAAGCTAATATAAATACTCTTATTATTCTCTTGACAATGTGCTAAGTTTTTATCCAATGCTAGTGAATAATTTATATTAATTCAGCATCACACCGAAATGAATATCAAAATCCATTTCTTTAAGTTAATTTTCTTTGCGTATCTTTATTATTTTACTGCAAAAATGTTTCAGTAACTGTCTTAAATTAAATTCTGTCTTTTCTGTGATTTGTAACCAAGGCTGTTTTTCGAAGACTACGTCGTCATATAAAATTATGCTTTTTTGCGAATAATATGCAATTTTCATAACTGCTGTAAGTTTGCAACAATTACTCATGACGACTGTTAGGTCAAATTTAGCCTATATTTAACCTGCGTCTTTTATGTTTATTCTGAACACGGCGCAAAACGTCAGTATGGTGAAAAGCCACAGTTTTGGAGAAATAAAAAGCGTTTGTGGTATAAATTTTTAGTATTTAAAAAACTTAATCCATTGCTGCATTATCTGGACTCATAAAAAGTTGCAAAAACTTAGAATAAGGAAGTGATTGTGATAATTTGCATATAGGTGTGAAACTGTCACATTTTTGATTATTAGGGGGGAAATGAACGCTACCCCCTACTTTTAGAGTTGATGACCTCTCTAACTATAGTGCTATAGGATGAGCGCTTCACCCCACTTCGTATCGATGACCTCTCGTCTATAGGATGAGAGCTGAACCCCCACTTCCTCAGTATGGATGAGAGTTCAGCCCAACTGATAAGCTCTTATCAGGAAAGACTTAACATGATCTGGGGCTTCCTAAATAAAGCAATTTGTATGAAGTAATTTGTTGTCCAAACAATGCTAAGTTAAGAGTTTACATATAAAATAAAGAAGGACACTTAGCGATTTTTTTTTAACTTTTTCATTCTTTAAACTAATTCATTCGAAACTTGTTTCGGATTACAAAGTAAGCGTCAAATCTTTCAAAAACACCCCTATATGTGAAGAATTAAATACCAACGATTTTTTAAGAAGCATTGTTTAGTAAACCATGCTACTTTAAGAGCATATATATGGTTAACATAAAAGAGGATACTTTGCAAATTTTTTATAATTTTTTGTAACGATGAATTCATTAGAAACTTGTCTCAGATTAAAAAGTTAGCTTCAAAACTATACTCTCTACTAAGAGCTTATCAGTTGCGTTGAATTCTCATCCATACTGAGGAAGTATGGTGTAGCGCTCATCCTGTAGACGAGAGGCCATCTATGCTAAGTGGGGCTAACGCTGCACTATAGTAAGAGAGGTCATCAACCCTGAAAGTGGGGTGTAGCGTTCATTTTTTTTCCCTACTGCGATTTTTAAAAAAAGTTAAATAACTTTTGAAACATTTAAGTTGTTTGTCTGTTTTAAATATCAGATGATCACGATATAGTTTAAAAATCATCGTTTTTTTTTCAAGTATAAGGCATTTGAACTGTGGTTTTTTATTTTGCTTAGCAACAAAGCTTCGAAAAAAAATGTTAATAACGCAAGGTTGGCTTTATTTTCGGCTGTATTATTTCTCGATAACTTGCAAATTTTTGAATCTCTCCCCATGCTCCTGAGCGTCGGTTAGCACCTACGCATTCACTGGTAATTTGAAATTTAATCGTATTTATAGTATTAGTACTGATTTAAAGATTTCACATACTCTTCAGATGCAATTATTCCACACACTCCACTGCAATATGTTGTTCCTTCATTTAAACCTAAACCAGGATTGCACCCACCACATTCTGAAAAATTATGAAAAAAATATTAAGTTTCTACATTTCATAGATGTCACTGGGAAACATTTTTTTCTTGCATAAGATTTTTATCTGAGATCTTGGATATTTTTGATGATTTCAAATCTGTAATCCGGAAATCCGTATCTTTAGGAGTAAAATTGATTTCAAATTTGAAATACCCACACCCGATTTAGATAAGATCAAGATTTTGTATAAATGCAACAAAAAACTTGTTCCCCAGTGTTATTGTAACTTAAAGAAAGAAAGAATTTCACAATCCATATGATGCAATGTCGCACCCTAAGACATTGAGTAAGATTTTTTTATTACCTGTACGTCTAATGTAAGCTTTAAATCCTCTGCCCAGAGGAACATTGGGATCCTGATTGCATGTAGTCAGAGTAATATTTACTACAGTCCTTGATCCTTCTGATGCATAGTATGGTGGGCTTTTCTGCCTCATTATAACCACCGTCTCTCTTGCATTTTCTTCTTCAGCACGTACTGTTACTACACTTTTACAATCTGGGACAGCATTGTATGATCCATAATGAACTACATCGTAGTCCGGAAATACCAATTCCATGGTCTCACCTTCAGGTATTCTAACTGACCAAGTATAGCGATGAAAAGCCGGTGGGTACTTCTTACTTTTGTATCCAGGAGTTGTTAAAGTAACTGGAGCGTGAAATACTCCCATAAATATATCTGAAAATTTATAAGGAAAAACAACAATAAAAATATCCAACACATTTAGAAATATATAGTCTGTTCATTAATCCTCACTCTAAATGTAAATGTATATCTATATCTATCAATATATATATATATAATTAATACATAATTTTAATTATTATTATTTATAAATCTTAATTAATATTGAGTATATGTATCTAATTAATTCTTTTCATAAATCAAATTTATGGAAGCTCCACATTCGGATTCTCATATTAGTATTTAAGGAAAACTAGGAGCTTTTAAAATTTGACTATTCTTAACTGAAGTCAACCCTAACAAAAATTAAAATAAAGTCTTCCAATTCAGTTTATTTTGTGAGGAAAAATTAAAAGATGGTCCATATTATCTCTAATGAGAACATGAATGATAATTTCAGTTCCATCAAACTATTAAACTGGTTTTGGGGATTTTAATTTCACCTTCGACTTCAATAATAATTCTACATATATTGAATCTTTTTCCTTTTTCTACTCGCCTAAAAACTAATTTTTAACACCTAATGTGGAGGTTTTATTGCTTTATTTTGTGAGAAATTCCACAAATATTTAAACATATATAATCTTTTAAGGGGGAAGGATTACTGAATACTTTAACTTATTTTGATTATCATCACCTCTATGTCCGGTAGCTCTGCAGATTAATGGTCCTAGAATGTGTTGTCCAGCTTCATTGGATTCCCCGGTGTCCCCGAAGCGAAGCTGAAGCACCGGTAACCTACTTGAATCTAAGAGTAAACCTGAGTCCTCCAAAAATTTCAACTTGTTGTTGTCGTCACAGTTGCAAGTGCTATTACGACTAGTCTGGTGGCAATATGGATGGCAACCACAGCTTCTGCTGTCTGTCTCAGCTCCACCCCAATAGAACTGAGGCTTCCAATTTCTTCCAACCCACCTATGAAAGTAGGAATATTAAAGAATATATGTATATATATATATATATATTAATGAAATGTATAGAAATTCATACAAATGTCATTTAAAACATTGTCTATAACATTATTTTACATTTTCAGCATTATTACCAAATGTAAATTTTATGTACAATTCTATTAAATATATTTTAAATAAATATCTTGAAAAAAGACATTATATTAAGTAAGAAAGTAAATTTATTTTACGAAATTTAAATAAATAAAAACAAAGTATTATTAAAACGTTTCATAAACATAATTTTATTAAATTGAGTAATACTCAAAAAAATTATCATCAAAAAAAATAGTATCTTTCACATAAAAAAAATATAAATGTATGCTCTAAAAACTAATTTTTATAAATTTAATTATCAAAAATATGAATATACATTTCATTAAGTATAATTTTTTTTGTCGTATGCCTGTTTCGGCAGAAGGGGAGCGATTGTTCCTGTTTTTCAGTGGCGCCATCTATGGCCAGGACTTCGACTTCTGCCACGCCATTCACTCAACCACAACTCGTTTATAGGGCGGGTCACATTTACACACAAAGGAGAAAGGACATAGAACACACATAGAGTGAAAGAAACATCCATGCCTAACCCGGGATTCTAACCCAGGACCTTTCTGATGCAAAGACAGTTCCCTGCCCCCAACACAGACAGGTCGGTTTAAGTATTAATAAATGTTATTATTTAATTTGTTGCAAGTTAAGAAAAGACTATTGCTGTATAGGATTTAAGTTATCATCCGTGACTGCTTATAGTTCCGTCTTGCTTCGTTATCAAATTATACAAATATGTTTTCAAAACAATATAAAAGCTTTTAAAATTTAAACATGTTAGACAGAAACTTAATTCATGCTATCTTTTACGATATATGTCAAAAAAAATATTAAGGAAAGGTTGTAGTTTCGTAGTCTTGTTGGAATTCTAGACATTACGGCATATTTCGATAAATATGAAGATCATTCGTTCTTAAAAAGAAGCAAGTATATGATGTTGCAAGAGCATTGGATTTTAATGCACTGTACAACGTCGTTTCAACCGTTGGCGATGTTGATATTCGTTCTCGCTGGGAGCTTGGCATCAATTTGGCATGCACTTACATGCAAAGAGGCTCTTTCCATAGAGATAATGGTTTTTTCTTAACTTGCAAAAGAGTATAATAGTTTTGATAAGAATTATACATTATTTCTATGAAGAAAACTGAAATTATATTACCAACTATTAAGATCAGGTGGATACCAAAATCCGAACATAGATCCTTTGCAATCCCACCTTATGTATTGTTGACATGAAAACGATAGATCAATCAAAGCCATCAAATGCCTCTCACTTACACCCCTATAAGTCACATTTCGGACGTATGATCCTGCAGATTCGTAACCTCTGACTAGTCTTGGATCTTCGGTATCATGATGAACAATAGTCTGTACCTAATTATGAAAATATTTCAGAAAATTGCATTCGAAAATAAAATTCTCTCTCAATTGCAATAAATTAACTACAAAAATAATTTATGGTTATTACTTGTACTATAGCTGTGTATTACATACAGAGGCATGTATGAAATGAAATGCATGACTAACTGAAAGAGTTCACGAAACACAAATAGAGTTTTATTTTACACTATAGGGGTAACAAGCTTTTATATTACACGGAGGAAAAAAATCTGGTAAAATTGCAGCACTCTATGGTATTGACATTTCATATTAGAAAAAAAAAACAGAATTTGGTTAATAAAACCAAAATATATGGTAATTAAAATTTTTTTTGCTATTTTCTCCATAAATATTTTAACGGTTTACCGGAAATTCTGATTTTAAATATTATGGTTCTTATTACCATCCAATTTAATGAAAAAAAGTAATTAATACAAACAAGTAAATTCTACCGAATAAATGGTTCTTATGGCCATGCTCTAAGTTATCATGGTAAAATTTACCAAGTTTTATCGCTTGTACCAAATTTTACCACTCATTATAAAACCAGATTTAATAGTTAACTTTACCTAAAAACATTACAAATGTGATTCGGTAAAAATTACCGTACTCTTTAATGCTCCCATAGAGCAAGAAGCACGATAAATATTGGCAAATTCTGGCAGTTTTGGCCAAAATTTTTTCTTCACTTGCAAATAAAGAGTAATTAATTTAAAAAAAAAATCAAATAAAAATTGGAAGTTAAAATTCTGTTTAATGAAGAATTCTGTCGTATGAATTCACACCAAATATTAATGAACAAATTATGAATAATGGTATACCTTTAAATGACTGATGAATTTTATGAAAATCTGCTGCTCCAATTAAATTAAAAATTACTGATTTAAAGTAAACGGGAATTGGTTTGAAGTATAATTATCAAGATAACTCTGAATAATAAGAAAACATTTCTAATCTAAATGTACAGAAAACGCAAATCTAGTTTTTCCATTTGCATCCTAAAATTATCATTCTCTTATTGAGCAAATAATAAGCGATTAATGCGAAAAATTCAATTAACTAGAAGAAAGAAAAAATTCTATTGAGTAAGAAGTTTGGTTCCCTAAGAGTAAAATCAAAATGTATGAGTCAGTAAAAAATAAATTACTCCTTTTTAATAAGTGATTAATGAATATAAAAAATATTCCTCTCATAAAACAAATGTACACGATTTAAAATTTAACATAGATTAATTTTATCAATTTCAGAAAAAAAAACATTCTCAAATTGTCACATATACACTTAATGTAATGTGACAATTTAATTTCTAATTTTACCTAAGCCTTTAATTTTTCTTTAAACGTTATTCTTTTTTTTTTCATTATAGCAATTTTTTAACTTTCTTGCTGACCTTTCTCATGGTCATTACGGTCATCGCACTTCCTGTGGGGAAAGTTAACCAACCCCTCTATTCACGCCTTTCTTTTTCTTCTTTTAATTTTAGGGGGTCTAACTAACCAATCTCTTTCCTTTAAATTTCAAACTCTCCGTCTCTTTAAATTTAATTGGTCGTAATTTTTCTGGTCCTATACCAATTAACGAATTTTTAAGTCATTTTTGGATACATTCTCCTTTTCTCGAGCCTTCGGGCAGGTTACTCTTTTTTAAATTCTCCGCGATGCGGACTTCGGTCCGTATCGAGGGATTTCTTTTCACATTTTTTTTTCTTAACCTTTATCTTAAATTAAATGCATAACTATAATCAATTTCTGTAAATTTAAAATCAACATTTTATACCTTTAATTTTCTTTAACATTAAAAGCCCTCTCAAATTTAAGTTTTCTTTTCATATTTATTTTAACGGTAAAATTACTCGTTCTTTTATATTTAACTTTATGCATGACGCCTTCGGTTTCTTTAAATTCTCTTGTCACCCATTTCCTTTTAAAAGATATTTTTTGTGCCACAAAATGTGTTGGAATCATATTGTTTGTTTGTTACGAAATAATCAAAATAAGTAGTTTTACAAAAATAAATGTTTAGTTGAACAGAAAGTTTTGTGTGATTGTTTTTTTAGCTTTACCTTTATAGCTATTAGTTATCACCTTTTTTCCTTCTGTATGTGGTGAGTACCTTTTTTATTGTTATGGGCATTTACCTTCTCTCTTTGGAAACATCACAAAAATTGCATTGAATGATATATTTATGTTTGGATATAGCATGACTTCATCTTATTTATCTTTAATAATTTTTCAGTTTCACCCTTATTCTAAATTCGGTGATACCAATTTATCCAATTTGTTCAAACCTCACATTTTGTGACCCTTTGAACCTATTGGGTTATTGCTATCCCACAATTGCATTGTACAACCACTTTCATTAACGATCACATTCCCCTTAATTTAATTTATTTACCCTTTTATATATTTCGGCCTTAATTTGTTTTATTATGACATTTCAATCATTTAACTATTTTCAATCATGACTATATCCAAATACAAGTACTTTACCAATGATTTCAACCCATCTACCAATTTTATTGCATAAATAACTCTACTTTATTCGCTCCAAATAATATTTTTATTAAACTGTTACAAAATATATTTTATTAAACTCTTACACAAATAGATACACGATCATTACATTAAACTGCATTTTAATTAAATCTTTGAGCACTTCATTACCTTCATTACCAGATACTATTATATCATACTTTTAATATGAAACGACAATTCAATTATTTGATATGAGTTTTATTATATATGACATGCAACATTAACAAGATACATCATAAAAGTTAAATTTATCGTGTAATTATAATATTTGGAAAAATGTAAGTTAAAAAATACCTTTTAATACACTATCACATGTAGTACATACTTTACAGTTAAAGAGTGAAAACCATTACTTCGCAGAATAACTTGATATTTTATGAAATAACTAGACAAGTCAGTTAAAGTAAATAAAATTATTAAATTCTACGATATAACAAGGTATTCTATAGAATAATGATTACTTGATAGTTAGAGTATGAAATACGGCACTCGAAAGTTCTTTATACCAGTAAAGGCTGCAATTAGTCAGTTTTGAACCACTTATAGCTGCTTTGCAATGACGTGTATGCTTCATTCTGTTGCTTTTAGAGCAATAGGAGCAATTACAAAATTCCATCATCTGTTTTTCCTTATTATTTATCAATTAATCATTCTCAACAAGGATAAAAAGCCATTTTCTAGAGATTTGAACTATTTTTGATCAATTAATTTATAAAATAACGTTGAAATTGTTTATCCTTCACTTTAACCGCCTATCATTAGTTATTTCATGGAATAATTAGGAAAAGTACGTAATTTTTCATCTATTATATACTTTAACTCACTAGATTAGTTATTTTCTGAAATACTTAGTTATTCTATGAAGTAACTATATACACTTTAACGGTAACATAGTTCATGTAATTGATAATCACAAAAGAGTATGTATGTTAAATAAATCATGCAATTTATTGTATCAATGGATCTTGAAAATTAAATGGACCATAAATTAACTATATTAATGGATCTTGTCATATATACTGATCTATCGCTACAGATTTCTTTTTTAATAATTTAGATATTTCTCTACATAGTAATTTAGTAGTTTTTTAATAAATTTTGAGAATTTTTTTCAAACAATGATTAAAAATTTTTATTTAAAATCAGAAATGCTTACTTGATGTGGATCTCTTCCATCCCCCATATCACAGTCTACAAAAATAGGATAAAGGGGTCCTTCCCCATCTACATCTATTTCATATGTACCATTTAACCTTTGATTTTGAAAATTCCATACATCTCGACAATTTCGCTCCAGCACTGGACCTCTTCCATACAAAGAACAAACTACTGCTCAGAAATAATTTTTAAAATGATTAATTAAAAAATGTGTTTGATATGAAATATAAATTTGAATTTTGTCATTATGAAAAAAAAATCATGGACAATGAAAAAATTTTATATAGTTATATTACACAAGAAAAATAAATATTAAAAACAGTTCCATGGAAATCGTTAAAGGTTATAAAAATAGCTTTGTTCATAATTGAAATTTAATGCACTAAACATTACTTTAAAAGTGCAAATGCAAATAATATAATCAAAAGAATATGATTATTTTGATGATGAAAATGAAAGTTATCGTGTTTTATCAGTAAAGTAATACATTGTCAGAAATTTTTTAGTGTACTGAATAATGTGAACCATAACATTGTTTCATATACTGAAAAGAACTTTTTTAAATATCAAAATTGTGAGAAATGGTAGTTCCCTTCGAGTAATTTGTTTGCAGTAATATATATAT